TCCCGGTGAATTGCAGGACGTAAAAACCTTAATAGCCCAAAGTTAACGACCTCCCTTTGTGGGTATAGTTTATTGCACAGATACAAGAGAAACAAAAAAATGTGAGCATCAGAAAAGAAAATGGTTAAGTGTAGAAATCGTATAGTCCTACAGAAATATGTAAGACAGGTCTATTAAGAATATACGGGGTGTTCAGTTTTGCAAACGATGCAAAATGTGGACATGTGAAAAATATTTTTTTTGTACCCAAACCGCTCATTTAATCTACATTCTACAAGAGCCCCAAAAACTTCCAAATAGTATCACCTAGCAAATAAAAAATAGTTGTCCCTATTGCCCAAAAGAGGAAAAGTTATGAACGGATATTATCACCATATATCAATTTTGTAGGAGTTGTAACTTTTAAAAAACACTCTGTATAACACCGAAATGTGTAGATTGAAAGCAAAAGTTCACACCCTAAAAATAATCAAAATCGATTAATACGTATTCGAGTTATTTACAAAATTCAAAAAATTTTTACGAACTAAGAAGCCATCTAGCGGCCAAACGAAGCGATTTGGGATATAGGTGAATTAGCCTAAATCGGCCTATTTTGAGTCCACGAATCTGTGGTCTTCCGTTGTACACCTTATTCTGGGACACCCTGTATATTCTTAATGTATTTTAGTTTTGGCTTGTATGTTTACTGTAAATTCATCTTTCACTGACATTTGTATTGTATTCTCTCTGAAACATATCCTGTTATTGGGTTTTGTCACGTTGGATACCTTAATTAAATAAATTTGTAAATAAATAAATACATAAATAAATAAATAGATAAAATACATATCCATATTTCTGTACCGAAAGTGTCATGATGAACCCCGTACTCTGTATGAGATTATCAACCAGCCGATCGTTTCAAAAGCGGCTAAAATGAAGTCTTAGAAAACTGAGAGGTGTAAAAGCCAAATGCTAACGACCTGCCTTTGTGTGCGCCAAAATTGCGACGAAGGTCATTAATTTTGACTCCACCTTTCCTCAAATAGTCCGTTCATTGTTGTTTGTTGACATCGCTGTACTGCATACTAATGAGGGTTCCTCATCGATTTAAGAAATTCTATGACAAGGTTTAGGTCAGATCAACAACCCCTGAAGCGGATGATCGATGACGGTAATTTCCTGGTAGGGGAGTATAACGCGAAGTTAGTTCATTTTCCATTTCCAAAAAGTGCTTTCCACCGCTAAGATTTTATCTAAATGATCGTATCGGGTCTATTTTCTTTAATTTTACAGTAATTTTACTTTCAAACATTCACTAACTGCTGTTTTGTGGCCCTCCGAAAAGTTGACTCTTTTATACGTTTATTTTTTTAAGTTTTTCGTACAGAATACTGGAAATACATGAACCAACCAAATTTCCATACTTTTTTAATCAGCTTTTCAACGTTATTTTCGCAAGGAATACACTATAAGTCAATATTTTCATATTTTAGTTCAGTATTATTTTATCAGGAAAAAAAGTTATTAACAATTTAATTGTGAAAAAAAAATTTTTTAGTAGTTTTCTTTAAATAACTCAGCGGGATAACTTTGTGCGAAAAAATGCTTAGGACATGATTTTGTTCGTAATAAAAATAGCTACAAATTGGCGGTGGTCCGATTACGAAATTTGCAATAACAAAGCCTTGAGATTGAAAAAACTGTATAAAACGTCATTTTTTTAAACTTTTTGTAAAAATGTCAATTATAAACAAAAAGTGATAAAACTTTCGAAAACTATAGTTCAATATAGTCATATACAATAATGACGCTAAAGCCGAAAATCAGGAGAGCAAAACTTTTTGTTCCATAAGGTGTTAAGGTGTTATACATTCAACGGCATCTGAAACTCGAAACTTTGCCAAATTTGTTCGAAACTTTGCTGACACTTGAAATTTGGTACACACATAGTGTAAATATGCAGAAACCAAAAGCAATTTGCAAAATTCAAGTATCTTCATTTTTGCAGTTTTGGTAAGGTTTTATACGTCACCCTAGTTTTATACGTCACCGTTTTTTTAATTTTTGGACGTATATTTATGTATATTTATAAAATATTCCATTACGGTAGATTAGCCAGCATAATTACCTACAATTTAAAAAAATATATATTTTCATCGTTTAGATCCTAAGCTACTTAACATTTTGCGCCTGTTAGCCGTAGTCGTACATTATTCAACATATTAACATAAAACAAAATCGTACGTGTGGGGTAAACCTTTAACTTTTCATTTTCGAGCGCGAGCTCCGCTCTTCGGCGCTTGTATACTATTAGAAATATGCAACAGTAAATTTAAACAATTGTTTACTTAAAGTTAAAGGTTTACCCCACACGTACGATTTTGTTTTATGTTAATATGTTGAATAATGTACGACTACGGCTAACAGGCGCAAAATGTTAAGTAGCTTAGGATCTAAACGATGAAAATATATATTTTTTTAAATTGTAGGTAATTATGCTGGCTAATCTACCGTAATGGAATATTTTATAAATATACATAAATATACGTCCAAAAATTAAAAAAACGGTGACGTATAAAACTAGGGTGACGTATAAAACCTTACCAAAACTGCAAAAATGAAGATACTTGAATTTTGCAAATTGCTTTTGGTTTCTGCATATTTACACTATGTGTGTACCAAATTTCAAGTGTCAGCAAAGCTTCGAACAAATTTGGCAAAGTTTCGAGTTTCAGATGCCGATGAATGTATAACACCTTATAGAACAAAAAGTTTTGCTCTCCTGATTTTCGGCTTTAGCGTCATTATTGTATATATATTGAACTATAGTTTTCGAAAGTTTTATCACTTTTTGTTTATAATTGACATTTTTACAGCAACTTAAAAAAATTGGCGTTTTATACCGTTTTTTCAATCTCACGGCTTTGTTATTGCAAATTTCGTAATCGGACCACCGCCATTTTGTAGCTATTTTTATTACGAACAAAATCATGTCCTAAGCATTTTTTCGTACAAAGTCATCCCGCTGAGTTATTTAAAGAAAACTACTAAAAAAAATTTTTTTCACGATTAAATTGTTAATAACTTTTTTTCCTGATAAAATATTTTGTCAGCAAATTAGCCTGTTATTGTACTCATCATTTAGTGTATTCCTGTGTAGTTATTTCCGAGTTATCAAGGAAATGTCACCAACAGTAACTTTTCGGCCTCTGCCGACTGGACTATAAGAGAATGATAGAAGTGATGAAGCAAAATGCAAAAAGTAGTTTCCTTTAATTTTTCGCATTGAAATATCACGGAGAATAAACATCAGTAAATGTACGTTTGCTGTTTTTCAGTAAATTTGTAAAGATACTCAATAATTGTGATTAATGCATCTGTTAATAGTTTCCGAAAAGCATTCTTCGGGGTGTGATTATGTTTATAATACCGTACTCGATATTCTGTAAGGAAAACGTATGATAAACATACAAGGTAAAAATATGCTTTTTTATCCTTATTGTGAATTTATTGTCAATTGTCTTATACCCTTAAAAAAACTTATATAACTGGTACAGTGAACAGATATTGCTTCTAACTTCCTTAGATTTTCTAATGCTGGACAAAAAATTGCGTCCCCTTTAAAGAAAATAGTTGTTAGGTTTAATTAATATTCAATATCTAACAATTGTAATAGAATTTACTTATTTTCTAGGTAATGAGAACTTAATTGTTTAACTTACTGTAAATTAAAACATAATTATTTTAAAGTAAAAAAAAACATACCAAAAAATATACAGTACGCACTTTTCCGATGTAGCCACTGAATAAATGTTTTTCGATTAGGATTCAAGATTCAATATTTTAAATTTTGTGGAAGAAAGGAAATATGACAAAATAATCAAAAAGTAAGTAGTAGCCTTGATCTCTCAAATTTGACTTCACTTCTCTCCTAATTCTACAAAAAGAAAACAAGTACCTAGGTAGTTTTTAAATAAGCGAATATTGTATTAAGTAAAAAACACAAATAAATAATAGAATTTTTAACAACAAGCAGAGGCAACTGTTGAAATAAAATAATTTTATTACTAACTGGCAAGTTTGAAATATAAATTCATTACCTACTACTGACTTTTCGATTATTTTCTAATAAACACAGTTAAAATCTTGTTTCAGTTAATACGGTTTTTCTTGAAAACCATAAAGTTTTTTAAAATTCAACAAGAGTAAAAAAAATTTTAAAATTAAATTCTGCTGTGAATCAATATTATTATTTTTCAATTCGGTCAATGAAAAAAAAGTTCGGTACAATTTTAGGGGCGAGTCATCCCCAATGAACACCTTGTAGTTCTTCAATTAACTTTAAATCATATTCAAAGAAGACCAGTAATAAACCTAAATCCTTTACCAAATTTGGTTCTTCTGCGGTAAAGTGTTGCAGATATTAATTTTTTTCGAAATTTAGGGCCCCAATTTGGGGGCTAATAACTCCTGAGGGGTGCAACTTTGTATATAGGTAAGTTTGGTTAAATTACAATATTTTGGACACCCCTACATGCACCTGCCCTGTGTCGGTTCTTATGCGGGACACCCTGTATAAAGCTGTTCCAAGGATCAATTTGTCAAATTTAAAATTTAAATTCGCTTGGCTAAAAAAAAGTACTGTGAAGAACTATTGGAAAATCTTACATTTTTTCGAGGTTATGGATATATTTTTGGCGTCGAATTTTCGGGGTCGGTATCTCCTCCAATGATCAACGCATTCATATCTGAATTCAGCTGGTTTTTGTCTTTAATTACATAAGTAATTAGCGTAAGTTTCACTATTCTACGTCAAACATCTTGGTGTTTTAGACAATGTGGATATTTTTCAAACTTCGACACTCTGTATCTCAAAAATTCAAATTCTCAGATTAGTTAAACACCCTGTATATGACCTGTCACTTTGACAGATAAAGTTTTTCACTGTAATAATTAATTAATTACTCAATTACTTAATTAATAAATAATAATAATGTTTTTTGTCTTGGAGTAAAATGAATACAGTCGAACCGGAATGCAACGAGGAAAAAGCTTCCCCCACCACCAGCGTCGTGTTCGAGGCTTCCACTCAAACCCCTACCAACGAAGTTTGCGAGTCGCCCCTGTTCACACAGAAAGGATACTGCCTGAAGACCACGGGTCACAGCCACCAAGCCTTGACGAACATACACAGGATGAGGCAGCACGGTCAGGTACACTTAGAGGTTTGGTTAGAATTTTTTAGCTGGTTTTTGGCTATGCAGTTGCTTTTTGTGAAGTGTTTCAACGATTGGGAATGCTGTTTTGTTTCATAAATACGGGGTTTACCTAGAAGAGGTCGTATATTGCTACTGAAAAAATATATGAGGAAAACAATTGTAACAATTTTTTTGGGTCACCCTGTAGCAGAAGTACGAGAAAACATAACTGAAATGTTGTGCTATATTCGAAATAATTCATAAAAGTGCTGATAAAAATACGTGTAAAAATATTTGTAACAACATATTGCATCGTGCTCGTAGTCCAGGTGGTAGTTTGGGGTTGGGCTAAATACAGGGTGTAACTTTTAATGGAAGTCACATTTACGCCTTTAGAAACATATCATAAGCTTGTTGTCATTTTAAAAGTTTAAATTTAAAAAAAAATTATTTTCGTAATTTTTATATATTTGGGTATGCTACAGTATGCATTGTTGTCAAATTCATATTTTTTTCATGATATCAGGATATCACACAGAAATGTAATAATAAAGACACATAAACACACCATACCGTCACTAAAAACTGAAATAAATAATTTTATAAGATTATACACTTATATCTCGTTGTAAACCGATAAACTGGACGCTAAAATGAATATAATATGATAAATATGTATAAGAAATGTTATATCAGGTGGAATGATATTTATGTAGTTCAACTGAATTAGGTCAGTGTCAGAAGACAGTGATATCACAGACAATATAACATGGCATGTCTGTGGTGGTATTGAGATTAACAAACTCAACAGAGTACATTAAAAAGTAGTATGAAATACTTTTTATTAAAATATTGAATTAATAAAAAAAAACATTTTAATCTATAAAATTAAGAGGTATGTATTTATATATATTTTTTTATCATGTGCATTTTATAAACACAACAAAATAATTATATTTAAACAAAAAATAGTTTTACTCGAGGTTTTAAACGTATGAAATGACGTCAATGTTAATATAAAAAATTTTGTTATGCACAAACAAGATTCATAACTTGAAATTGTAGGAAACACCTACTCTATAGGTACATACCTCTACTAGCACTGATTTACACCAGCAATGTCTAGTAAAATAAGAAAAAATAGAATAAAATAAATATATTAAAGCCATATTAATAAATTATAAAGAGTAAAATTCACGTAAGAAGTAATTTTGATAGAAAACACAGGTTTTTAATTAAAAATTGTAAATATTTTATTGATTCATAAAGTATAGGGTTATTTTTGACAAGATTTTTCATGACTATTTTGCATAAATGCGGTTAAATTTCGTTGATCGCTCAATTTCCTCTTTCAAGGCCTGTGTGGTCGTGGACTTGTTGGCATAAATCTTAAACTTAAAAAAACCTCAAAGAAAACAGTCCAACGGCGTTAAATCACATGATCTTGGCAGCCAGTTCTGGTGACCAAAACGGGAAATTACACGACCAGAAAATGACTTGTGTCAGTAATTGAATTGTTTGTCGGGCTATGTGGCATGTGACACCGTCTTTTTCTAAAACCTCTTGTCGTCTACATCCATATCATGCAATTTAGGCACAAAAAACTGGATATCACGTCGTGATAGCGAGCATCATTAACTGTTATTGCCTGACCAGCAGCTTTTTCGAAGAAGAATGGTCAGATGATGCATCCAGCCTTAAAGCCGCACCAAACAGTGATACGTTGTAATTACTCGTGGATTTTCTGAACACCAAATACGACAGTTTTATTGATTAATGAACCCATAATCCATTTAACGAACTCTCTTCGCTTTGCGTGATCAGTAGGCTTCAGTTTTTGAGTCAATTGAACTTGAATACGCTGTAGAGAGTTTCTCGAAATGGCCAATTCTTGACCACGATGCTAAATTGATGTTCCTGGACTCTCAACAACACTCTCACGAACTGCTTCGATGTCTTCTGTTGAACGATCGTTGAAGGACGGACAGAGTGTTTAAGATCCAATATCCCAGAATTTTTTCAATTAATTTCTTCACAGTTGATGAAGGTAAATCATTATTCCGAGCAAATTTTGTTCGAAAATTGCGAACTATAGGTGCCAAACCTTCATTATCTTTAATATATTACTCGACAATGAAAACGCGTTGCTCTTTCGTATAGCGCTCCATTTTTAATAACTGTCAGCTGTCACGTTGACTTTTGTTTTTCGTTGGCAACACTTTACCGCACAAATGGCGCAAAATTCAAATCTTTCGTGAATTTTGGGACACCCATTATAATAACTACATATATAACAAAATATGTGTTTTTAAAAAATCATTTTTTTTACCTACAATTAGTAAATTGGTTAATATTTAATAAATAACACAGCCACACAAAAAACTTTCGGGCCCAGAGGTCAGACCATGTTCCTTGTAAGTTTTTTAGGTCGCTGAATCCGAATCCGAGGTCCATTTAACCCCATCACCTCAGGATTTATCATAACCTCAAAAAAAACACGATATTCTGAACAATTAAACCATTTAACCTTAAGACTCAAGCTTCCAATGCTAAACCCAAACCCCACTAACCCTATAACCCCATAACCCCATAACCCCATAACCAAGGGAATAAATCATACGAAATCTGTATTATTGCAAAACATCACATAGCTGGGGACTCCTTGAAAATCCAAGTATACAAATCCAAAAAAATTCCTATAACCCAATCGGTATTTTTGAGGTTATGAAAAATCCTGAGATGATGGGGTTAAATGGACCTCGGATTCGGATTCAGCGACCCAAAAATCATGTTATAAATATGGTCTGACTTCTGCGCCTGAAAGTCGATTTTTGTGTGGCTGTGTAATCCAAAACATAAGAATTTTCGAAGAACACCTGAACATTTTTCGGTAACATCAAAAAAATATGGTAAAATTACACGTCGCAAAGTTTGACAAAAGTAATCTATTTCTGCAAAATCGTTGTGTTACAGTTGATGATAAGCATGCACATAAAACCAAGTTTGGGAACTGCCCAGTAGCGGCGTAGACGTAAACAAGACATTAAGTGCATTTTAAAAAAATTAATCGACTATTTATTTGATGAAAAAAAAATATTTTATTAGTATTTTATAAAACGCGTAAGTACCCCTAAAAAAACTGACACCCACTTAAGGTTACACCTTGTATAATAATAAGATTATTTGCTTTCAGAATAATTTTTTATCACGCCGAGATGGGACTATTATTGACCTTATTTGGCGTTATGGGCTATAAGTTCTACCTCATCTGAATCAATATATCTCATGGCCATCTGGATTATAAAATACAGACCGTTTTGTATTACAGTACCTTTCATGTGTACTAATTTCTAGACATTTATGATTTCTGCTTTTTTAATGACTGTATCTACCTAATATTCAACTTTGCTTAACACTTAAGCAGTATTTTACACAGGATGTTGCATTAGTGCGATAAAAGAAATCTTTTATAAAAATTACAAAACTTAGGTCTTGTGAAAAATTATCACGCCATTTACGAATAATACTAACTTAAATTCAACAAAAAAACGTGTGGGCTTACCATTAGCAAATTTCCCGTTGCTGACTATATTGGATGCTTTGTTTGCACACTCATAAAATCCAATTAGAATATATTTATTCGACAAAATTAGCAAGCACTAAAATGGTGATTACTGGCCAGGTTTTATTACCGCCTGACCTAGTTGTCTACGAGATATTTATCGGTTGACCCATTTATTTAAAAGCTAAAAGCGTATAAGGTTAACTTTTTTCATAGTTTGTATTGCGAGATGACGGACAATAAAAAAAAACAGTGTGTAGTATATGTTTTTTAGAAAAATATCACATATACATTATTTACAAGCAGATATGAGTGTTTCGTCAGTTTGGAATGTACTGGGTACTCTGTGTTCAATGCTGGTTTGGTATTTTTTAGATAGAGAGGTGCAGGTATCTTTTAATTCTAATGAACTTCTAAAGCGCCAAAGTTCAGTACGCCATCTATTGGCTACTTATTTAGTTTTCAAATTTAAAAAATAGTCCTCCTCAAAAATATTAATTAAACCAACTCGGGATAGTAGCATTGTTTATATTTCATATTTCTAAAATTACTAAATAAAGTGAATATCAAAACTGCTTCTAAAACCTATCTACTGCACTGCCAGTCTATGCGTGGCAACTGGGACTGCCTAATCAATTTTTTTCTGAAAATGATATCACCTCTTACGCGACGCATCTTCCCCCGCAAACAATAAACTTAATTTTGTTAATTCAGAACGGCTTATGGCTAAAGGTCACAAAGGCTTCGCAATTAATCTAGCAGCCGGCGCTTTTGAGCTAAATAACTATTAATTTATGAATGATATGAGTAGCTCTAAGAACATATAGAGAATAGGGGGCATTTCATGCCAAATCACTCAGTGAGTTTTTAATTTTCCTGATTTTTTAGTATTATTTAATACCCATTTAGAGTAGCTTCCATGAATTTTTTCAAATTTTTATTTCGCCTTCTCAAGATTGGAATATTTTGGATACAAAAAATTCAAATACATACTTGACGAAAACTAGAGATATTATAAATCTTTTTTTTTCATTTTGTTCGCTTTGAGATGTAGTTTTATAGAAAAATATAAAAAGAATACATTTTTAATTTTTTGAGTGTTTTTAAATTTTACAGCAAAAAGTGCTTTTTGAAAAAGAGGGTCATTATTTTTTTACTCAAAAAAATTGTCTTCCAATATGCAAATATATGAGAACTTTCATTTTGCATGTACAGGGTGATAATAAAATTGGTAAATATAAAAATCGAATAAACTGTCTTTTGCTCATCATTTCATCATTCAAATATAATTGGCATCCAAACTTCTTAATAAATTATATTTGTTTCTTAGTTTGTACTTAGCAATTCACACATTTACGGAAAATATAAGCACACTAATATCTTACTATAATATAAACTAACACTAATAACTAACTGCATATTTTAAATTGAGAATATTGTTATTAAAAGTTTAGAATGATTCAAACACACCTCCACCATGAGTTGCCCATTTTTCATTTGTTTGAAGTTCAATCACTTTTGATTATGGCGGTTGTTGTCAAACTTTTTTATTTTCCATGCCAACCGCATTTTAAAGACAAGCAAACATTTTAATCAAGAATACCTTTTTCTAGTGAAATTAACAATGTTTTACTGTCCGTTTCTATCAAAGTAGGCCGATTCATACATAAATTGAAATTGTAATATAAATTTCAATTTTAAGCAACTTTCCTTAATAACATATTTTTGTATTATTAAAATCAAAGGCAGTTGAACGATTTTTATATTTATCGATTTTCTGATCACCCTGTACATGAAAGATGAAAGTTCTCCATGCCAACTGCATNTAATAAATTATATTTGTTTCTTAGTTTGTACTTAGCAATTCACACATTTACGGAAAATATAAGCACACTAATATCTTACTATAATATAAACTAACACTAATAACTAACTGCATATTTTAAATTGAGAATATTGTTATTAAAAGTTTAGAATGATTCAAACACACCTCCACCATGAGTTGCCCATTTTTCATTTGTTTGAAGTTCAATCACTTTTCATTATGGCGGTTGTTGTCAAACTTTTTTATTTTCCATGCCAACCGCATTTTAAAGACAAGCAAACATTTTAATCAAGAATACCTTTTTCTAGTGAAATTAACAATGTTTTACTGTCCGTTTCTATCAAAGTAGGCCGATTCATACATAAATTGAAATTGTAATATAAATTTCAATTTTAAGCAACTTTCCTTAATAACATATTTTTGTATTATTAAAATCAAAGGCAGTTGAACGATTTTTATATTTATCGATTTTCTGATCACCCTGTACATGAAAGATGAAAGTTCTCCATTCCAACTGCATCTTAAGGACAAGTAAAACTTTTAATCAGAACTGCCTTTTTCTCGTAAAATGAAAAATATAACAAAAAATAAAATAAAGAAGAATTTTGAGAATTTTTCGAAAAAATAACGCCACTCTTTTTCAAAGAGCACTTATTTATTTAAAAATCAAAATATACTGACATAATAAAACTAAAAATGTATTATTTTTATATTTATTTATTAAACTACTCTCAAAACGAACAAAATGAAAAAAAAGGTTATCATACCTATCTTTAGTTACATTTTTTACTCAAAATATTCAAATGCTCATAACTTCTTGAGGGGTTGCAATAAAAATTTGAAAAAAATCATAAACTGTACTCTAAATGGATACATAATACCAAAAAATCAGGAAAAAAATGATCGGGTCACGACCTCAGTGATGACATGGAATGCCTTATACGTAAAATGCTTTGTAATGCTGCTGCTTCCGCTATATTTTTTAAATAAAACACTTTTATTTCTGTTTCTAGCTCTGTGATGTTACGTTAAAAATAGGATTAGAAAAATTTAAAGCCCATAAGGTCGTTCTAGCGTCTGTTAGTCCATATTTTTTTGCTATGTTCAACGGTAAGTAACCAATAGTTAGATATAAGTAGCAACGTTCTTAGAATAGAATTCATACCACTATTTTAACTTCGAATAGTTTAAACACATACAGTGTGTACCAAACAAGCTATGTTCTCCAGGTGACATGAAAGAACATAGTTTGCCGGTGATAGAGATCCACGACATGGACCCAACAGCTATAAATTTACTGTTGGATTACTCATATACTGGTCAAATAACAATCACAGCAGATAACGTGCAAGTTCTGCTACCTGCTAGTGGCCTTCTACAAATGAACGAGGTTAGGGAAGCTTGCTGTCGTTTTTTACTCAGACAGTTACACCCTACTAACTGCCTCGGGATCAGAAGTTTCGCAGGTAAGAACAAAAAAGTTTAACTGATAATTGTTATTCAAAAAATCCATTTTTAAGACACACATTCATGTAAAGAGCTTCATCTAAAGTCCCACGTATACGCCCTACAAAACTTCCAACAAGTGGTTGGAACAGAGGAGTTCCTTCTGCTACCGTTTGACGAGGTACGCATTTCAAATTTATTTTTTCACGTGCTAGATCGAAGGCAACTTTTTCAGGTAAACGAATTGATCTCAAACAGTCAACTGAACATCTCCTCAGAAGAAGACGTGTTTTCGGCAGTTCTAAACTGGGTGAAACACGATCTAGCTGAAAGAAGCCAGTACATTTCAAGGGTACCTGCACATTTTGTCAACCTAAATTTTTTCGTGCGGTGTATTTGTCGAAATCGCAACTACACTCCACGCAAAAATTTAGGACCCACTTTAATAACCCGACTACTGACTTGAATGCACTGTTTTTAGTTGATGCAACACGTTAGGTTACCTCTGGTAAACAGAGAGTTCCTAATGACCAGAGTGGACAACGAGAAGTTGATCAGGGAAAACAGTGAGTGTCGGGAGCTTTTGCTAGAAGCTATGAGGTACCATTTGGCGCCTGAAAGGAGATGCGCGTTAACTACCACAAGAACCATGGAGAGAAAACCACAGGGGGCGGAACCGTACCTATTCGCAGTTGGTGAGTGAGTTTTTGAATTAAGTAATGTGATACATAGTTTTTCTTCATATAGGTGGTGGTTCCTTGTTTGCTATACACTCAGAATGTGAAGTATACAACCCCAGGACTGACTCTTGGTCCGCCGTAGCTCCGATGCAGTGGCGGAGGTCAAGATCGGGTGTAACAGGACTTAGAAGACTTCTATATGTTGTAGGAGGGTAATTCTTTTTATTAAAATTAAAATGTGATGTGCTACCACAGTGACGATATATTTTTAGGTATGACGGAGCTTCAGATTTAGCTTCTGCAGAGTATTACAACCCTTTGAACAACACCTGGTCATCCATAACCCCTATGGGAACAAAAAGATCTTGTCTAGGTAAAAAGTTTACATAGCAATTAAACAAAACATCCAGAATTTATAATGTATATATTTTTCAGGAATTTGCTCTTTTGACGGCCTTATATACGTTTGCGGAGGGTACGACGGTGCATCCTGCTTGAGTTCCATGGAACGTTTCGACCCTTTGACGGGGATCTGGTGTAGTTGTCCCGCCATGAACACCAGGAGACGTTATTGTAGGATAGCCGTCGTGGGTAAGTACAGAAAAGACATTAACTAAAACTGATGTTTCTCTTGGATCTGAAGTAGGTATGAATATGAAAGAAACGTTGATTCTGACTCTTTTGTACCTAACCCTGATAAAACGTTTCAGAGAATTGTATTTATGCCTTGGGTGGTTTTGATTCCACCAACTACCAAGCCTCAGTCGAACGGTAAGGAATTATACAACTTTTTATCAAGAATTGCACATAATTTTTCTTTTAGTTTTGATCCAAGAGAAGGCACGTGGAATGCAGTGCCATCTATGTCGTCCAGGAGAAGTAGTTGTGGAGTAGCAGCCCTTAATAGTCACTTGTATTGTATAGGAGGTTAGTAGCCAGTACTTTTTCTTCATAATAGAGTAAAAAAATACGCTTTTTAGGTAACGATGGCACTATGTGCATGTCTAGCGGCGAGCGGTTCAACGTGAGAAGGAATGCATGGGAGCCAATCACGTCAATGAACAATAGAAGATCCACGCACGAGGTAGTGGCCATAGACGACTTCATATATGCTATTGGCGGGAACGATGGGTCTTCCAGTCTGAATGCTGTGGAACAATACGACCCCAAGACTAACAAGTGGCTGGTGGTGTGTTCTATGAGTACCAGAAGGAGCTCTGTGGGTGCCGCCGTCTTGGACTGTATCAATATCGAGCACGTGCTGAGGCAGACGAGACACAGTTGATACAGATTATCTATGTAGGGAAATTATTCTAGTTGCTATTCTTGGATTATGTTGTAAGGCGACAACACAGTTTTTTAAATGGCGAGGATATAACGAATTCAATCTTGGGTATTTACGTCATTGAGCGCCATCTATTGAAAATACTGTGAAATGTAAAACAACATGAAAACAAAAGACGGTGGTGGATGGTGCTCACTGATTTTATAAATTGTATATATATCTCTCGACAATTACGAATATTTGGAAGTGAAACTAAAGATTATTAATTTGTTTTATTCAATTGAATCCATTGGGCTTTCACGTAATTTTTGTAAGGGTGTTTATCATCTAAGGGGGTCTAAAAAGTGTAACGAATAAAATGCTTTAAGTAAAAATTATATCTGAATGTGGCTTCAATCTAAAGTCAATGTTGTTGCTTTTTGTAAAATCTACAACAATACTTTTCTGTGATAATGAAGTATTCAAAAGTAATAGGGAACCAAGTTATATTTGTAACAATTATCGTTTTCATACGGTTGTTCTATTTTAGGGAGTAAATCTAGGTGTAGAATAGGGCCTAAGTAGATAGGCATAGAGAGTGTATTGTTTTTATTATATATTGCAAATGATTGGTGATTTTCATTGTAAATGTAACATGTTGGATTGTAAGTTATTGCGTTGCCCATGCGAGTCTTAATATCAGTGTTAATATAGGTACTATGTAACCTCTAAGTCTAATTAATAATTGTTAACACCGATGTTAAACTTCGCATGTGGGGCAACTGATGTTTTGTTGAACTCAGTGTCCGTGCGGTCTATGAAATATTCCGGATTTATATAATTTGACTAAATATACTGATTACAATATATGTATAAGGTTTAAACGAAACACCAAGAGATATAAGAAACGTTTCAACGAGTTAGAATATTTTTCATAACGCATGAAAGGACTGAAGTTTTTAAATATGTTAGTTAATTTTTACTATATTATATCAAACTGCACTGCCATTTTGTGTAGCTTTTTAGCAATGCTGATAAGATAAATAAAGTTTTTATTAAGCATTGAAACTATTTAATACTTAGGTAGGTANGGAATAATGGCGACACATAAAATATTTTCAGAGTTGGCTGCCCTGCCATTGAATTTCGTTGGATTTTTCGTTTTGTGAAATTGGCTATCCTTTTATCTTTGTCCTTTGTTTAGGTTATGAATTTGATTAAATTAACGTAACCTAAGATTTTGGTTTACTGAGCTAGAACTATATTTTGATTAAATTATAGTTAAATATCCAAGGAATATGGCTATTTTTCTTTTATTAGTATATATTATTTTTGCTGCCAATGCTTGTCCAAATTTCGTTTTAGTTTTAACCGACGACCAAGATTTAATTCTTGATGGATTAGTAAGTATAATACCAAAAGAATTATTGGAATGTTTTAACAAATATTGTAATAAATTCAGACACCTATGGAAAAAACCCTGAAACTAGTTGCTGACAAAGGAAAAGTGTTCAAAAATGCAGTAAGTTAATTTCATATGTCATTAAGTAAAGTTGAAAAAGTGTGATGTCTAGTTTGCCAATTCTCCAATTTGCTGCCCAAGTCGAAGCAGTATTCTTACTGGAAAGTTTGTTCATAACACTGGAGTCTTTAATAATTCCATTGAAGGAAATTGTTCTAGTCGAAACTGGCAAAAGCATCACGAACCGTACTCTATAGTCTCTCTTCTTCAGAGTAGTAAGAATTATACTACGTTTTATGCTGGTAAATATCTGAATCAAGTAAGTGATTACAATAGCTAGTAATATAAGAAATTAAACGTTTGTTTTACTTTTTTAATTGAAGTATGGTACGAAAGGGGCTGGTGGAATTTCACATGTACCAAAAGGGTATGATTGGTGGATTGGGTTACAAGGAAATTCAAAATATTACAACTACACATTGTCTGTTAACGGTACAAAAATATTCCATAGAGATGTATATCTTACCGATCTTTTGGTAAACATTTGTAAATATTATTGTTGTGTAAATAATTTTAAAATGTATTTATTACTAGTCAAACTACAGCATAGATTTTTTAAGAAATAAACCTGCACACAAACCCTTCTTCATGATGGTAGCTCCACCAGCTGCCCATGCACCTTTTATCCCCGCGGAGAGACATAAAAACTCGTTTCCAGAAGCAAAAGCGGTGAGAAATCCGTCTTTCAACTTCACTTTGTCTCAGGTATGTCTCTGTTTATTTTATCGAGTTATTTGGAATTAAAAAAATTGTTTCTCTTACAGAAACACTGGGTAGTACAGATGTCGCCTTCTCATTTACCTACAAATGTGTCAATCTTAGACAAAATACAAAAACATCGTCTGCAATCTTTGCTGGCAGTAGATGAAATGGTAGAGAGGATCGTAAAAGAATTAAACGATTCAAAGGAGCTGGAAAGTACTTATATTGTCTTTGCTTCAGACAACGGTTTTCATATTGGTAATATTTACTATGTCATTGTTACCTAGTTGATCGACAAACTGTTTTTTTTTTTGGATTTTAGGCCAGTTTGCTCAGCCTTGGGACAAACGCCAGCCCTACGAAACAGATATAAGAGTGCCTTTTATTGTTAGTGGGCCAAATATACCACTGAAAACCATGGAAAGTTATCCCATTTCATTAGTCGACTTAGCCCCTACGATTTTGGACCTGGCAGGTACCGAAATTCCTGATTTCATGGATGGTAGAAGCTTCAAGGAAGCATTGTTTTCACACGAGAGGAAACTGTTCTCGAGACGGATATTTGTAGAGTACTGGGGAGAGGGTAAACGTGCAACTATCGATCCAAGTTGTCCTTGGAAGTACGACAAAAATCTATCGGTGAGAGTTAATTTCTGTAAGTACGTTTCGACATTAGTTTTGACAATTTGTTTTCTGTTTTTTAGCAATGCAGTGTTGATCAGTGGTGCAAGTGCCAAGACTCCAGGAATAACACTTACACGTGTGTCGTTACGTTGTCCGAATCGGAAAAATTTAAATATTGCAGCTTTAGAGACGATCAGGTAGGCCAAATTCTACTAATAATAGACACATTTCTCATATTTTGAGTGAATGTTTCTATGAGAGGGGACAGTCTATAACTATTTCGAGATTCACAAGTGTTCATAGATTTACATTTGCATTACCTTGTTGCAGAATTTTAGGGAAGCATATAACTTAACGTTAGACCCTTACGAACTTAATAATGTTTATGCTGGAATGGATAAGGGCTGGGTAAAAAAGTATGACGGATTATTGGAAAATTTTCAAAGTTGCCATGGAAGGGGGTGTTGGCTGTGAAAGCGAGTTCATTTGTAATTAGTTGTTTTGTTGTAGCATTTTCTAATTTGGCATAATTAAATTTTTGAAATATTCAAACAAGTTTTTTTAATTCCTATTATATATATATACAGGGTGTGCCATTTAACACTCCCACAGAGGTTGTTAGGTTCTTCGAATAGTTTCAAATTGAAGTTTTTCAGTTCAGTTTCAAATTGTTTTTTTTGTATTGTGTGTTAGTATGTGGTGTGAATAAAGCTTTTATAACAATATTTTAAAAGAATATTTTGTCTCGGTGTGATTTAAATAAAATAATAGATTTTTCTGTTACATCATACATTGCATATTGAAGCCGACATGTCTCAAAAACGAGTAAGTATTGGGAAATACGTTATATTACAAAAATTACTCAAAATTTAACAATCTTTCAAATGGACCGCATTTCCACATTCCAGGTATTAAAAAATTTTTTAGTATCGACACGCCATCTATACAGAAAGATTTGAACTAATAATTCTAACTCTAATTTGAAGCTCGTGAGAGACCTAACAACCTCAGTTTCTGGAACGAAAATAAATTTCTTCATTTCGGAGACATTGGCAGCGGGAGTGTTAAATGGCACATCCTGTATATATTGTGTCACTATGTTATACTACAGAGACTTAATAAATGATTACAAGCCACGTGACCAATAATTTTGTATGGAACAGTAATTTTATTTTCTTCACGGCAATTAAATTTTGGTAAAATTAAAAAATATTAAAACAATCAAGATTACATTAAAACACAACATTCTGTTTCACCGGCTGTAATTTATGTAATTTTCACGAGATTCTATCTAACCAATCATGTTATCTAAACATTTATGAAGGCTATATTCAAAAATGTTTACTATTACATAAAGTTCTCTTAAAAATCTTTTTTCTTTAATATTTTTAAAACATATTTATATAAATATGGGTCCGCTAATTGAGAGTTTTGGATTTACAGGGTGAGAAATATAAAATAATCACATTTTGTAAAATACCTCTGAAGGCGTTTGATTCAGAATGATGAAACTTAGGCTGGTGATTTATATAATTGAAAGTAAAATTCTATTGAATTTGGATCTTAAATACAAGGAATAGTTTTTGTTAAAATGTTTAGGTTTTCAGTTACAATTCTTAACTGTTTTATATGTTTGAAACAATAATTTTCAGACTTCTAATAAAGTATCTATCATTTATTGACGATATTGAAATTGTCTTACTTTGATAACACAGCCCCACAAAAAAAGGATCGGATCTGGTATTCAGACCCATATATTTCCATGTATTTTTTTCTAAATCCAAATCCAAAATTTTTCTGAATCCAAATCTGCCTTCAGATTTGGCCCAACGGGTTTGAGTAGTTTTCGGTAAAATTCAAAAAACAGGTCAAAATTCACAGAAAACGTCATTTACTATTGGCGAAAGTAAAAAATCAAATTATTCTACCAGCTCACTAGAGGTATAATTTTTCACTCGTTTAATTCCAATTTATCATCATATAGTCAGACAAGCAGGTCCAATTTCATACAAAAACAGAAAACATATCAAAATGCCATTTTCATGGCATAATTCCTGTTGCAGAGTTCTGGATCCATCTTCATATCCACCCACCCATTTATGAATTCATACATCTTTCTATCCAGTCGTTCATGCATGAATACGCATATTTATTCATCCACCTGTACCACCTATAAAACCCACCCATCTATCCATCTACTTTTTGTACTGAGTGATGAAATAACGGCCTAGAAGATTGATAATTTTGTTGCTATAACGTGTTCTCTTTTCTTCAAAAGATCTATGCAAAGAGTTACGCTTTCATTTAGTCCCTCTATTTTTTGTTTCTCTTTTTAACAACCAACAAAAATCGGCCAACATGTTGTGATCCCATCTTCCTTGATATCGCTGTTCTATAACCTACATATCCTGATGAAATCGTTCGCCTTATTCTTCGCTATAATCTCCAAGATTTTCAGGAAACCAATCCAGATGTGAATGAAGGAAGTGCAACTTGTATTTCATCAAACATCCCAGATCTTGGAAGTCTTTTATCATTTTTGATACAATTTCTTCGTATTTAGGACTCTTGTCATTTCCTAAAAAATTTGTCCCTACAGCTTTGAAACTAGTCTTAGCACTCTTCTCAACGCTACTCATTGTAGTGATGAATGTTGCATCCTTGAACAATGTCTGAATCTGAGGTCAATCGAATACACCTTTCAATTTTGGCTCAGAAATATTCGGAAATTTTCGCCCTATATATACATATAGTTTCATTGCATTCTCAATCTTCTAGGCTGTTATCTCATCTCTCAGTACAAAAAGTAGATGGATAGATGGGTGGATGGGTGGGTTTTATAGGTGGTACAGGTGGATGAATAAACATGCCTATTCATGCATGAAGGACTGGATAAAAAGATGTATGAATTCCTAAATGGGTGGGTGGATAAAAAGATGGATCCAGAACTCTGCAACACAAATTATGCAATGAAAATGGCGTTTTTAAGCATTGTGATATTTCTGTTTTTGAATGAAATTGGACCAGTTTGTCTGACTCTATGATGATAAATTGGAATTAAACGAGTGAAAAATCATACGTCTAGTGAGTGGGTAGAATAATTTGATTTTTTTATAACTTTCGTCGATCGTAAATGACGTTTTTTGTGAATTTTGACGTTTTTTGAATTTTCCCAAAAACTTTTTTTTGTGGGGCTGTGTAATCAAACAATTGGCAAGCAATTTTTTTGATGAAAAAAATTCAAACAAAATTCGCGAAATAACGAATTAAAAAAGGGTGGCCGACCGAAAAGGGGTGCCCATATATTTAAAAGTATTTTTTTTTCATGATCAAGTGATACATACAAACAGGTATTTCTTTATTTTTCACAAAATTTTCATTTTCTTAAAGTTACAGTTACAAAAAATTCCTTAAAAATGGAACAAATCCCATGCTTTCCCAATTCCCAAAGTATGAAATCCATGTGTTAGCTTAAAATTGTGGTTATACGAATCTTCAAATTCAGATTCTTATTGTAAAATATTTATCAAATTTATTTCCCTACCTGGTGGTAAGCTGTGGATAGGTAAATATTCGGTTGGGAATGCTTTTTTGTCAAATCCAAAATGCAAGTCACACACCACATAAGTTTTATAAATGTAGCAATAACTTTTATTGTTCAACAAAGGATTTTGCACCTAGTTTATCCATTTTCTACACAGTACAATATCGCTTTTGGAAAAAGTGTGTCTTCTACAACATAGTTTTTATAAAAGTTCATTGTTTTACCAAGTATTTAAGTACACTTCAAGAGAATCTATGAGAATAATAAGTACACAAATTGTCATGGATTTAGGTAGGTCGGTTATCTATCTTCTGTCTTAGCCCCACGTTGGGCGCCATGACGCAGATTTTTTATTTTGCTTGTTCTGAGTAGCTTGTGATGGAGTTGACCTACCTTCATCTCCCATTAGCATACTGAGAGTCGTAAGCCCTCATAATGGGTTCGGAAGAAGTGTACCTTTTCAGGTTTGTTTTCACCTGTGGTGTTAGGATGTTGTCGCCCACTTGCCAATTCTAGATTCTGGAGTCTGGAATAATTTGGAGGGTAACTCGGTGCACCCTCCCAGCAAGAGATTAGCTCTCCTGAGCTGTCAACCAGCCTATCGAGGAGAAAAATGTGATCATGTTGCTCAGGGGGATCTCTCTGATGTAGATCATAGAAGACCACTGTTCTCCTAGCACGGATTCTCTCGTTGACGAGATACCAGTGCACTCGTAGAGTAGTAGAAAAACTGCGTCTATACTCCACGGTCGAAATTATAGAGAGTGATTCAGACAATATAAAAACACTATTACCATAATGCGTATAAAATATAAAATGATTTTTATACGGTTCAATATTATTTATCTTTGTGCCGCTCGCTACGCACATCGATAGAATCTATAATCGTCTAGAGACCGAGTTACACTGAACGTCGATCTATATTCTATCTCTGTCTTTTGCACTTGGTAGGGAATAGGGAAATGCTTTTTTAGTGGGTGTAAACGGACTTGATTTAACCCGTCCTGAGAAACGTCATAGCATAAGCGTAGACGAGGGGTCTAATTCCATGGCTATAATAAATTTATAAATTAAAAAAACACAATTGGGACGTTTTAAAATGCTGTAATAATTAAAATGGATCAAAGTGCTTGTTATAGCAAACCGTAAAAAATATTAGATGTTATGTTTTATTATCTTTTTTCAATATTTTCTATATCTTGTTGCCTTTTACTCAGACACGCCAATGGATTTTCGTTCCTGGCACACTTCATCCCCCTTATTAGTCCAAAAGCTAGCGATGAGTCACTCTCTATAATTTCGACCGCGGAGTATAGGTGTCATGTCAGGTAAATTTTAGAAACATCGGAGAAAATTTTCAAAACATTGGTGAATTTCCACATCTGTCTTCATGATTGGAGCAGCGTTCAGCGTGCTTGTTCTGGCAATTGCGACGTCTGCGGAGCCTCCGTGACAAACATTAGAAAGTTTGGTGAAAAATTGAGAATGGCGGGAACTGTGCTACAAGGGCTTCTTTTGTAGAATTGTTGCGAATATCTGAAATAGGTGAATTTTGCCCCGCATACTATGACAAAAATACTTCATACACACTGCAAATCGTGTGTGTCAAAATAAAAAAACATTCATACGTAGAAGATGTTGGATGATTACCAATTGACAATCACAACACAGTCATTAAATACGTCACACATACATTAGTGTCCTGTAATGGATATGTACCGTCAAACAGGTCGATTAGTAGGGATAAAGTCGACCAACTGCGTGCAGCCAAATATATTGTGGCCTGTGATCAGTGTGATCAGATTGCTGCGTTATGTCATTGTTATAATGTGTGAAGGGGTTTGCACTTATGTCTGTTGTGTTGAGAAGTGTGAACATTCGGCAAAATAAAAAGTACGAACTCAGAAAATGATTAACAATTATAAAACTTAAATGTATCATGATATGAAACATACGAAAACGTTTGATTACACATGCAAGGTAGTACACAATACGGGTTCTGCATAGGGTTACCAGATCTATTTCATGACAGACCCGGAGACACATGACCCTTTTGTATAGTTGATGCCTAAAAAAAAAAAGAAATACCTCATGACTGACACCTGGAGGAAATAATTGATGTCTAAAAAAAAAGGATGGAATCATGAAATGTGGGAAATGTTTTCGAAGAAATCACGATTTTTCCAGAGAACCTGGAGAAATGACATGTTAACCCGGAGCCCGAAGATGTACCGTCAAAACCCGAAGACTCCGGGTCAAACCCGCAGATCTGGCAACCCTAGTTCTGCATGCTAGTATTCTTATAGTTCGATTATTTGTGAACAGATATCAATAAGAAAATAATAATGTTTTCATCATCTTGGAAAAATGTAGCAACTAATATCAAAAATTGTACTTTTACGGGATAAGGCGATCATTTTCATTACAAATTTAAATGTTTGTTGATTCGTTTGCTAAAAACTAAAGGCCTTTTTTGCGTCAAATACCTTAAGACCAGTGGTGTGTCATTATTATTTTCTTAGGGGACAGGGTGACAAATGTCACACTTAATAGAAGTGAATGGTTTATTGCAGATGCTTCAAAACTATAAAAAGAAACTTGGAGCATCTGGAAAAAAATTATGACGAAAATAATCTCCGAACAGCAATAGTCAACTGTTTAGCTATTAGTCAAATTTTATCCAAAGTTTTTAATTAAGTTTAAAAAAAAGTTCCTATTTTGATTTATATTATCCCTGAGAATGTTGTTTATATTATTTGAGCTATAAACTTAAGGTTGTGTAAGAAAGACTTAAAATAAAAGATATTTTTATACTTCTAAAGGTTGTTTTTCATAAAAAAATATGCAAATCATTTTTTTCGTATTTTTTTTTTAATATTTCGTGATCGACTTTACCCATTTCACAGGCAAAGTCGATGTTTCTAAGTAAGTGATTGCCTTTACCCCACAATGAGAGGTAAAGTCGATCACATTTCAAAATAATGCAGATAATGCACACAAAAAAAAAGTTAATCCAGCTTATCATACGAAAGATTGTCTACAGAATCTACATTATCTATTTCAAAAAAATAATGTAAGTAATTGAGACGTAATTTCAAAAAAAATCATTATTTTTGATCGACTTAACCCTGTTTGACGAGTGTATTTCTGGCTGCATAGCAGAAATATCAAAATTGTGTATACTTAAACTTTTCTTTATATTTTAAGTGCTACGTGCAAAGACCTTCATTTATATTCCAAGTAATTTCTTTTATCTTGGAATTTCAAGTATTATGTAGTATTGACTACTTACACATTGACCTATACTATGGATGATATCTTCTTATTTAAGCAAATTTTTTAGTACTACATTTTAATTCAATTGTAGCTAATATCCAAGCAACATGCCAATTTTTCTATTATTATTAGTGTATAATATTTTCGCTGCCAATGCTCACCCAAATTTCGTTGTAGTTTTAACTGATGACCAAGATTTAATTCTTGATGGATTAGTAAGTATATACAAAAAAAATATTGGAATGTTTAATAAATATTGTAATATATTCAGACACCCATGGGAAAAACCCTGGAATTAATCGGTGGGAAAGGAAAAGTGTTTAACAATGCAGTAAGTAAATTTTGTATAAATCGTTAGATAAAGTAAAAAAGTGTGATATCTAGTTTGCCAATTCTCCGATTTGCTGCCCAAGTCGAAGTAGTATTCTTACTGGAAAATTTGTTCATAACACTGGAGTCTTTAATAACTCCATTGAAGGAAATTGTTCTAGTCCATACTGGCAAGAGCATCACGAACCGTATTCTATAGTCGCTCTTCTTAAGGATAGTAAGAATTACACTACATTTTATGCTGGTAAATATATGAATCAAGTAAGTGATAGAAATAATCAGTAATATAAGAAATTAGAATGTTTATTGTATTTTTTAATTGAAGTATGGTACAAAAGAGGCTGGTGGAATTTCGCATGTACCAAAAGGGTATGATTGGTGGATTGGATTACAAGGGAATTCAAAATATTACAATTACACATTGTCTGTTAATGGTACAGAAGTCTTCCATGAAGATGTATATCTAACTGATCTCTTGGTAAACATTTATAAATATTATAGTTTTGTAAATAATTTTAAAATGTATTTATTGCTAGTCGAACTACAGCATAGATTTTCTAAGAGATAAACCTGCAGACAAACCTTTCTTTATGATAGTAGCTCCACCAGCTGCCCATGCACCTTTTACCCCTGCAGAGAGACATAAAAATATGTTTCCAGAGGTAAAAGCGGTGAGAAGTCCATCTTTCAACTTCACCTCATCTCAGGTATGTCTCTGTTTGTGTTATTGATTTATTTGCAGTTTCAAATTGTGTGTGCTTCAGAAACACTGGCTAGTACAAATGTCACCTTCTCATTTACCTTCAAACGTGTCAATCTTAGACGAAACACATAAACATCGGCAGCAAACTTTGCTAGCAGTCGATGAAATGGTAGAGAGGATCTTTAAAGAATTAGAGGAGTCAGAGGAGCTAGAAAATACATACATTATCTTTACTTCAGACAACGGTTTTCATATTGGTAATAATTTGTTATGTCGTGCTATTTAATTCTTCGACATAGTTTGTTTGGATTCTAGGCCAGTTTGCTCAGCCTTGGGACAAACGTCAGCCTTACGAGACAGACATAAGGGTACCCTTTATCATCAGTGGGCCAGATATACCACTGAAAATCACTGAAAATTATCCTATTTTATTAGTCGACATAGCCCCTACGATTTTGGACTTGGCAGGGACCGAAATTCCTGATTTCATGGATGGCAGAAGTTTCAAAGAAGCATTGCTTTCGGATGAGACAAAACTGCCCTCGAGGCAGATATTTTTTGAGTATTGGGGGGAAGGTGAAAGTACAACTATCGATTCAAGTTGTCCCTGGAAGGACGATGAAAATCTGTCGGTGAGATTCGTACTTTGTAAGTACGTTTCAACACTAGTTCTGACATTTTCTGTTTTTTAGTTTTGCATTGTCGATCAGTGGTGCAAGTGCCAAGACTCCAGGAATAACACTTACACGTGTGTAGTTACATTGTCCGAATCGGACAAGTTTAAATATTGCAGCTTTAGAGACAATCAGGTACGCCAAATTCTACTAATAATAGACAGATTTCTCATGTTTTGAGTGAATGTTTCTGTGAGAGGGGAACTATTTCAAGATTCGCAAGTATTCATAGATTTACATTTATATTACCTTGTTGCAGCATTTTAGGGAAGCATATAACTTAACATTAGACCCTTACGAACTTGATAATGTTTATGCAGAAATGGATAAGGGCGTAGTAGGAGAGTATGATGGATTATTGGAAAATTTTCAGAATTGTCGTGGAAGTGGATGTTGGTTGTGAAAGCGATTTGATTTGTAATTAAGTTGTTTAATTTCAGCATTTTCTGTTTTGACATAATTAAATTTTTGAAATATTTAAAAAGTTTTTTTTTTAATTCCCATTGCCTTTTACATTTAATAGAATATTAATATTTTTGTAATACATATTTAGGAAAAGTAGGTAGATTTTTGAAAAATATGTTATATGTACCTACTATATTAAAAAATGTTTTTATTTTTAGACGGGGCGTTACAGTTTTCTTAAAAAATTTCTTTTCTTGAATATTTTTAAAACAATGTTCTATCCTTGAAGTTTTGCAGAATAGTATTGAAGGTTAAGGTTTAAATAAAGGGTGTTAATTAAGTACGTCTGCAAATTTTAAGACATGATTTTTAAGTGATTTTAAATCAAAAAGGTTATTGATAGTGTTCAATTGAGAAATTGATAGTTTTTGATTGTGTTGATATAAAAAAAAATTTCAAAATCTTGAGACATTTCTGAAGACATTTGATGCAGAATGATGAATCTACCTCAAGGAAAAATATTTTTTTGATTTTATTACTTTTTAACTTTCAGTAAGGGAATATATTCAATGAATTTTTTTATCAGCTTAATGACATTAAAAAGTGCATATTTTGAGGTATTTATATATATTTTTTCATTAACAACTATTAACAATTGGATAATCCTGGCTAAGGCAAAGGCGTTTTTAAAAAATAGTTTGAGATAATCGCATTTAAAGTTTCAAGTCTCTGATTGCTGCATTTAGTTAATTTTTTTTTTAAGTTATGTACATTAAGCTGTTGATTTCAGGATCCTGAAAGGTCTCTTCTAACCTCTTCAAAATATCAGTTGATGTTTGGCTACGAGCCATCCTACCCTCTCTTATAACTCATCGCTCTTTATCTGAGGTAGCCTCTCTCTAAATACCTATAACTGTTGAATGAATTTCACAATGCTTATGGAAATTTGTAGAATTGTGTTCTTGATTTAATGTAAAGAATATGCAATAAAAAAAATCCAAACCCCTTAACGTTACCAAGCACTTCATTAAACAACAGAATTACTCCTTTTTGATAAAAAAGTTCATATGATTTATTTTTCTTTAAATACTACAATTTTAAATAAAATATAATCATGAAAAGCCCAAGTTGCACGTTGTAATTTCATTTTCAAAATATCCATTGGTATCAAATTTCTGGAGATACATGCCAAGTCATTAGTTTCATCATTCTGCATAGAACACTTTCAGAGATATTTTAGAGGTGATTTATTTTTTGATTACACCACCTTGTATCTTGAAAACCATTATTTTATGGAACCACGGCAAAAATCACTCGAAGAATCGCGTCTTAAAAATTTATCAGCATACTTATATAATTAACACACTCTATATATTTTAATTTTTTTAATTTAATCAGTGTTGTAGAAGTGGTAGATAATGGATACCTTGATTTTAAAATAATTGATTGCCTGACTAAATACAAAAATTATTTAAATATTTGCACATTTACAAAATAAAAGATGTTCTTTGCAAATAAAAGGACCATGTACTAATTAGGTACAGTCGGCGCCACCCAAATGTGAACGGCAATATTGTACCGTGTAATTTAAACTTCAAATCATAGTCGTAAAATTCAATAGTTGTCAAATATGTCATTTAGAGCAAACGTAATTAAATGTAAACAAGTAACGTGAAATATGCTGGAGCATTTAATTGAAGCGCATAGAACAAGGGCTATAGCTAAATTAGAAGATAATTGGTCTTTGAGTAATTAGGTGATTACTCTAATCACTATAACTAATACTAATATACTAATCACGATAACTAATCACTCTTTGAGTGATTAGTTTGAGTGAAGTGGCTGCTGATTTTAAATGTCAGTAAGAGTTGTATATTTTATATTAAACAACGCTGGCGAGAACAATAATTACAAAGATCTATCAGGCAAGGTGTCGGGAAGGTTTCCAGTGACGCGGAAGAGAATGCCTTGGTTGAATTTATCCATAAGAATACCCTCTCTGTGTTACACCACTAAAAAAAGTCTGATTTACTACGATAAAATCCAGATAAAATTTCCATAACTACCAAAATGCGTTCACATTTGGGTGGCGTCAACTGTACATTAAAAAGTGGTCTCGGTGAAAATTGAAAATTGCTGTGGATACGAGTTATTTTTTTACTCTGGAATAAAGTTACGATCATAAAAACTCCAGTAGATGATTTGTTTGTTTTTAGCCACTTTTATTCCTTTTTTTAAAAAACTACCCGCACCCTTAACCCCTCCCCCAAACTTGCCTGTTTATGCGTTTAACCCCTAAAGCGGGGTTAAACGCATAAACAGGGTGTCACGCTTAAATATGATGTAAGCCCGTAACTTCATTTTTTGGCAGATTTCCAAAATTTTTATTTGGGAATGTAGGGTAAAAAAAACTATCTGTGATATTGTTGTTTTTATTAATGCAATTTACAGCCAACTAGGACGCGTTTTCTTGACGTCAAAACAGATGATTAGTATTAGCAATTTTTTTTTTTTAAAAACTACATATTCAATATTCTCATTCTGCTTCCCTTAAAACATCTTTTACCACCAAATTTCATCAAAATCGATACATCTTCAGGCGAGCACTACATGATGTCGCGAAATGTAATACAAGCCTGTATAGTTTCTTTATTTTTGGCAGATTTAAAAATTTTTTTTGGGGTAGTTTAAAAAAACTGACTGATACTGCTGTTTTTTATTCATGCAATACACGGCCAACTAGTGCTCATCTGAAGATGTATCCAATTTGCTAAAACTTGGTGATAAGACAATTTAAGGGATGCTGAAGGAGAATATGTAAACTGTTTTTTGGAAAAAAATTGCTAATACCAATTAGCTGTTTTGACGTCAAAAAAAACGTGTCCTAGTTGGCCATAAATTGCGTTAAAATAAAAACAACAGCATTACAGTTAGATAGTTCTTTATCCTACATTCTAAAAAAAAATATTGTCACGCCATCCGCACCCCAACACCCCCCCCCCCCCTCCCAAAGGCCAAAAACTAACCCCAAAAGGAATTACACTTATCTGATCTGTTCCACCAACCGGTTTTGACGATAGACTGGTTTTTCTGGTTCCAAAGACAAGGGGGCCCACGAAAGTGGTTTCTCGCCAAAAAGCGTAGCACTGTCAGATTCCACATGTCACTATGTAACAAATTTAGTGATTCTCGTACAACATGGTTTTGAGATATAAAAAAACTTCTTAGGGGCAGATTTCAGGGGGCTGTAACTCCGAAAGATGGGGCCAGTTGGCAAAAAGAAAAAATACGGGTCCCCTAAATTTGTCTTAAGAATCTATAATTTTGTTGCATGAATTTCCGGACACCCTGTATATCAGTTATAAAAAAATTTTACTGCACATCTTTGCTTACACTTCGTGTTACCCAAGATCAACTGACGTGGAGATCTCTTTTTCTGTTTTTTTTTGTTTTTTAAATTTTTCGCATGTTATTATGTTCTTGATTTTTGTCTGTTTTTACTTCTTAATAGTAGGGTGGAAGTAAATAAAACCCTTAAAGTTTGTAAAATTTTAATATATAATTATGTAAATATAAGAGAGGCATGATCACTTTATTTACATCACACCCGTCAAGACTTAAATTTCACGCACATAAAAATTACAAAGGCCACAAGAAAAATATTATCATACAAAAATGAAACGACACTCTTTATCATATTGGCAATAACAAAGGCCACAGCCCAAATTAAAAAAACATGAAACAATGCTAAAATTAATAAATCCCTTGCATTCTCAGTATTACCCGTATGATCCCTTGCTTCTATTTTACGAATAGGATCATCATAGTATGGCGTTTCATTTCCGATTGTCACATTGGAATTATTTCTGTTTTCTGCTTGTTTGGAAGAACGGCTACAATAATTTTCACCTCTCCAGGAAAATGTTGGTACATTTCTCGTACCTTGTTCAGAAACACCATAATCGTTTTTCATATTATGTTGACCGGAAGTTGAGGTGCTACATGTAGGTGTTATCTGGGAATTGTGCTTAAAGTCATCATTTGAAGTGTCTAAATGATACCAAAGTCCGTTAGCGTCTTGAACCGTGTTTTTTGTTTTCTTAATTTCATTACCAGCAGAACTGTCCTTTTTTCTTCCTTCATACATTATTCTATATAACTGTTTATATTTATCAACACTGTATGTTGAAATTACATCGAAGCCTATCGCATCGTTGTAAGTTCTGGAAAAAATTCCAAACGACTCGTCGAAATCTTTGGATGTAGCGAAAGTGTTATCGCAAAGTCTGGTAGTCGCTGAATTTGTCTTCAAATCTGCCATTGAATCACTTATACAATATTTCTTTTCAATTTGACTGAAATTATCAAGCGATATATTTATGTTAGTTTCACCTTCAGAATTAAATCTAGTACTCACAGTTTCTTCCGAAAATTTGGGAGAGGAATGAATATTGATAACATTAGAAGTATCTTCCAAGACTGCGGGAACTGAATTTTCTGTAATTCTATTGACTGCTTCTAGATTTCTCTCCTTTATCTGACATTCTTCCGATACTTTTGCCATTCCGTTAACAGTATTTGTTTCATCAAGATATGCTATGCAATTCCCGTTTGAATAATTCGGAATTGACGTAGACATGAAATAGACGTTTAGCATGGTATTTGGATTCTCGATAGAGTGCCGAACAATATTCCTTTCACTCGTATGATTTTTCGTAGCAACTTTGTTCACGACATTTCCACTTTTGGCAACGTTTTTTTTTTCCTGATAAGCCATATACGCTCTCTGTAATTGTTCATATTTAAAGGCGCTCAAGTTTGGAACAATGCTAGTGTCTTCACAATCGATGTTTTGTATGAAATATTTGAATTCCTCACCAAAGACACAGTCGGGGTTTTCAAGAGTTGTTGGGTGATTCAATGTTGTCTCTAAGTCATTATTTATCGGAATATCCTCGTGACTGATAATTTCATTTCTTTTCGTGTTTGCATCCATACATTCCTGGGCAATCTGTTGCTTTTCCAAAACGACTGTTGAATTATCTGTTTGCTGCTCCTCCATCTGAATTCTATCTTCATTTGTTTTTTCAAGGTCTTGGCCTACTTTATTATGTGGATTAATTTCAGGTGGTAGATCCACAGACAATTGTTTTGATTTTTTCTTCTTCTTCCTCGTCCTTTTGGTTTTAATTTCTTCAACTGTAGGTGTTTGAATTTCGGTAATATACTGAATTTTGTTGTGGACATTATCAGGCAGAAACCAAATCTGTTCCATGACGTCCACATCAAGAAACTGGGGGTTATATTTTTCTTCATTATGATATATTTCTTTGGTTTCTTTAGAATCTGTCTGCACCAGAGAGTTACCTTTAGCTTGGTTAGTCGCATTTTCTACCGAACTGATTTCATCGTTACCTGCCTCGTTCTTCAAATTTTCCTTTACTGATGTATCGGTTATTTGTTTACTTTTCTTCTTTCCTCTAGTTTTCTTCTTAGTTTTTATTGCTGTACTTGTCTCCTCTATTTCATTATTATTTCTAGGGTCGCTTTCAATACCATTTGATAGTGTGGTAAACCACTGAATTTGATTATCGACAATATTATCAAAATACCACAGGTTTCCTGTAGTTTTTGTGTCTAAAAGTCTTGAGTTTGATATTTCCATGCTGGTTTCTTTAAAATTTTCAATGATTTGCGCTTCTTCCTTTTTAATATCCTTAACGTTTTCCGGCTGATTCACACTTCCCGATTCGACAACTAATTGTTTTGATTTCTTCTTCCTCTTCCTTTTGGTTTTAATTTCTCCAACTGCTGCTGCTTGAATTTCGGTAATATACTGAAGTTTGTTATGGACATTATCAGGCAGAAACCAAATTCGTTCCACGAGATCTATATCAAGCAGCTCGGGGTTATATTTTTCTTCGTTACGAGACATTTCTATGGTTTCATTAGGACCTGTATGCACCAGAGAGTTACCTTCAGCCTTGTTGGTCACATTCTCTAGTGAAATGACTTCATCGTTACCTGCCTCGTTCATCAAACTTTGGTTTACTGATACGTCGTCTGCTTGTTTAGTTTTCTTCTTTCTTTTCATTTTTTTCTTAGCTTTTATTATTGTATTTACTTTTTCTGTCTCATAATTAATCCTAGTAGGGCTTTCAATGCCGTATGACGCTGCGGTAATTTGATTATTAACATAATTATTAAGATGCCACACTTGTTCCATCGTTTCTTTTTCTAGAAGTCTTGAATTGGAATATTGGGCGTCGTTTTCCCTAGAATTGTTACTAACCTCATTTTTTTTCTTTTCTGCAGACCCTTTCTCAACTTCCTTATCGTGTACTAGTACATTTGTAACCTGTGACTCTACGACCAGTTTTTTTGATTTCTTTTCGGTGTCTTCATTGTTTTTAACAGTTTTTTCCTCTTTCTCTACGTTTTTTTTTTGTTTCACATTAACACCCGCCAATTTCATCCAAAAGTCATACATATCGATTTCTTTTTGACACTGTAAGTTTAACTCTTCCGTGTTGTTATTCTTAGAATTGCTACTGATCTGCGTTTTTTCCTGTTCCGCAGCCTCTTTTTTAATTTTCTTATTACTTTTTGGTAGATTTGTACCTCCTGTTTCTTTTTGACACTGTAAGTTTAATTCTTGCATGTAGTTTTTCTTAGAATTGCTATTGATCTGCATTTTTTCCTTTTCCGCAGCCTCTTTCTTAATTTTCTTAATACTTTTTGGTAGATCTGTACTCTGTGTTTCTACAACTAATGCTTTTGATTCGTTTTTGGTTTTTCCGTTGTTTTTAACAGTTTTACCCTCCTTTTTGAGTGATTGTTCTGGTTTTACTGCCATACGAGCTGATTTCATCCAAAATTCATACATTTCACTTTCCTTCTGACGCTGTAAGTTTTGTTCTTGCAGGACAATTTTGTCACTCAATCCCGAGTGCCAAACATTTTCCAGTCCGCTCAGTTTTTCTTCCACTTTCTTCAGAGTATCAGAATCATAAAATATCTTTGGCGAGTTAATTTTAGTTGCTTCTTTTTTCTTTGTACTGACAAAGCTGCCCAAGCTTTCATTTGACAGACTATTAAATACTTGTTTTTGAGCATTATCTTTTAACATTTTCTGTGCTACTTTCTTAGGTAGATCAGGAAGTATTACATATCTTGAAGCTTCATTACTAACCACTGCACTGGTTCCCGGTTTATTGTGAATTTCATCCTCTACACATTCCTTTAATTCAGAGAACTCATTGTTTACTTTATCATTGCTAACTGCGGCTATCCCAGAGCTCTCCACGTTACTAACTGTCTTAGACTTTGATTTCTTCTTCTTTTTCGTTTTGGTTACTAGCGTCACGTTACCAACAGATTTAGTTTTTTCTTCGTTGTTCTTCTCAGAGTTTTCTAATCGTTCCATCCAAGCATTCACTATTTGTTTTCGAGATACGATAACAATTTTATCTTTAATTGACTCGTATTCCAATGGGGGAGGTTTGAGAGAGTAGTATTCTTCATCGAATTCTCTACTGTTGTAGTCACTGTCTGAATCTGAACTAATAATCCCATGGATTTGAGAAGCTTGTCTATCATCAATCTAGAAATGCATAAGATAATAGAAAATGTGCATTTATATATAATGAAAATTAGGTTCTTACTTCCATTATTTCATCGAAAATATGTTACAAATCCATTCCTGAAGTTCTGTCCAAAGTTCAATGTTTAAATACTTTAAATAAAATTTGCTTTGATTTATACATACATACAATTTCCACAAATATTGGCAAATAATCACTTGACTGAACTTGGACTTCAGCGAATACCTAATGAGATAACATTAATTAGAAATTGATAAAGCAGAAACCAAACATGAAAAAAGTACAGACAGATAAGGTTAGGAGAAATTACAAACTCTGTTGCCTTGCCACAGATGTTTAAACCGTAGGCACATTTTATACAAATACACTGGACCAGTATTAAATTTTGTTTTTTTACTACAACGGAAGGTACGGATGATAAAAGGACGTTTATTAATAATAACTTCTTTTTAATTAAAATTAAAATGGTGATTGAAATTTTTAAACGTGGTAGATTATATTTTAGTATTTCTGTACATCTGACAACAATGCAATCGCAGTGGCATCTGTAAATTGGTAAATTACTAAAATTAGATAGGTATGTTTTGTATTTTGAGGATTTAGGATTTTCCTCTGCGGGAATTACCCGAGGCTCGAGCGTATCTAATTGAACAATTAAATTTAATTTATTTTTTGCAACTTATCAACAAAGCCTATTAGCTATTCTACTGTTTAAAAGTACTTATTAAATTATGATTAAAAATATGAGAAGTATCTAATCAGATACAATACTTTACTTTGATAACACTTTGACCTTCTAATACAGCTATTGTTACTCAAGTATTGTATGCTCTTTTTTAACCTTCTTTATATGAATTTAGCCACAAAATACAGTAACTGTAGATTTTATTAAAGCATCCTATTTGAATTTTAGCGGATTTTTGCTAGCGCCTGCGCAGTGTGCATTGTATCGTTAAAACATGAACGCGTATGCGTGTAGCATGCGCCGGTAATGTTTGAAAACAAAATCAGGTTTTGGTTTTTTTCAATCGTTTGTTTTTTATACTACGAGTCGTTTTTTTAGTTTCTCGGGCTACAGTGTGTCGTGTGTAATAACATTTTTTATACCAAGAGAACTTTTACACTTTCTGAAGTAAGTGAATAGAATGCATATCGATGTAGATAGCACCTAGTACCTACGTAGATTACTTAATTCTCAGCAGTAAATGACTACATCTCTGCCTTTTAATAACTACTTACAAACACAATGTTTAACTTGTAACTGGCATATAATTTTAGATACACTTGGCCAATTGAGATTACACAAGTAAAATCAAAAGTTTTGATTTTGTACGTAAGCGACATACTGTAATTTAGCTTTACCAAATTGACCAATTTTTGATGCCAAATAGCAATAAAATCCTCAGAAATATTCAATAAAATCTTATTCACTGTAAAAAAAACAATACAATGATTGAATTACAAATTTTAAATTTTACATAAAATACTTAGCAGATACCATAATTATGTAAAATATCATATATGCTTATATATTTGTTACAGATATAATAAAAAAGTGAAATCACAAATATCCAAAGGATATTCTCAAATAAAGATAAATTTCTCCAATCGCTTAACACTAAAATTTCCAAAATCACAAGAAATATCACAAACAGTAATGAAATTAATGAAGTGACTTCCTTCTTTCTAGTCTTGCCATGGTTGCTTCTACGTTTTCTTGCTGCGATTCTCTGAATGGGATTTTCGAAGCATGTATTTGTGTGCATCTTCTCAAATTTAGAAAAATCATTATTTTCCTTTACCAAATTGTAAATAAATTTGTTATCTGATGTTCTTGATAGTAAAGAAATTCTTTCCCTATTCAAAGGATCTTTAGAACAATGCTTTTGTTCTACAGAAGTTTCAAAGTTTTTTCGCACCGGCAAGCCAGAAAATGTCAGTACTTTATTTAAAACGTGTCGATTTTGCTCACTTGCAGACAATGTATTTTTTTCTATTCTACTTGGAGCATCAAATGTATTGTCAACCTGAATTTTTTCGTAAGGCTGTTTGGACGGAAAGGTAAAATCGCTTTGTTTTGGCGCTACTTGAGAATACGATTTCTGACTGCTGTTTAAATTCCCTAAACAGTAGCGAAGTTTTTTACTTCTCTCAAGAGTCGGTTTCTCCATACAGTTGTTACAAAAAATCTCATTTTTCTGTATTCGTTCACTGATAAGTTTACACATTTCGTGGCAGTTTGTGATAACTGTAGCTGAACGGTTGGCGACTTTGAAAAATTTTCTCGACATTTTCTCAAAATCTTTTAAATTTTCATTACAAGTTGTGGACTTATCTGTTTTCATTTGTTCAGAAATGAGCTTAGATATATGCTTACAATCTTCAAGAATTGCAGCCGAATCTTTAAAAAATTTTTTGAAATCATCAAACGATTGGATAAAGTTTTCTGGATTTTTGAAATTTTCTTTGTACACTGTTGCTATACTTGCGTTTATCTCGCTACTGGAACTGGCCTTAATTGTATTTTTTAGATTTGTAATTCCAACGTTTTCTTTACTTATTTGTTGTTCGTCTAAAATTGTTGTCATACTGTCTTTATATTTCTTTCTTGTTTGTAATTTAAATGTATCCTTTTTCTTGATACAACCTAAAGCAATATTTTGACACACTTTATTACGAGACCCAGTACTTGGCAGTTCCGCAGGCAATTGTTTTGATTTTTTTTGTTCGCTTTCAACATCTTCAATTGGTTTTAACATTGTATTAGTTTTTTTCATGTTTTCAAAATTAGTATTTTTAGCTTCTATCGGGATGTTCAGAGACTGAATTTTGGTATCAACAGCTTCAATTTTTCTATGGAAAATGCTCGGATTATAATTTTCAATTGTGGAATTCGTTTGTATGCCCTTAGTTTTTTTTATATTATATTTGTTATGATTTTCTTCAAATTTCTTGGATGTGAATTGTAAAAGAGGTACAAATTTTTTCTTTTTCTTGTTGTTACATCCAGACCAATTTATTTTATGCATACGTGTGAAACTATTTCTTTTCGGTGCGTCAAGACTTGGAAACTCCTTCTCAAGCATATTTGTACCTATATTTACACTCTGTTCACTGTTGTGGGCTGTAGAGATCATATTATCGCGGTACTCTATTTCTCTTTTCCTACACGCTTCTTTTCTTTGAGATTTATTTCTTCTTTTGGTTAAGATGTCAATAATGCTACCTGTCAATGATATATTAGGGTATATGTTGCTTCCAAGGTGCCAAAAATTTTTCCTAATATGATCTGTCATGGCGTCAACATAAAGAGGAGCATTCTTATCGAAGTAATTTGTTTTTGTGACTGGATTTTGATGTCCGTTGTCAATATTTATATTTTTCGGTTTTAATATATGAGTCGTATAAGCTTTATAAAGATGCTCATAATTAAAATTTGGAATGACATTAATTAACTGCGTGAAACATTTATGTTCTTTAGTGGAATAGTTGTCAAGTTCTTTTAAGGTTGCAGTTATGTCATAACTACTCAGTATCGTTGCTAAATCTAATCGTATAATTATAGAAAGGCGTTCTTGAACATTGAAAGTTAGTGTAAGCTCGCCAAAGCAACAGTTATTGCTAATATTTGAGTTTCCTCGGGTATCGACAATACTGTTTAAATTTTTTTTATCCATTTGCCAATTTTTTGAAACTTTTGTGCAATTTTCTTTAAGGAACGCACAGAACTGTGTAAATATTTTCTTTTCCTTTGTGTTGATATCGTGTCCATATAATCCACCGAAGTTTGACAATTCGTTTTGATATATATCCAAGGTTACTATGTCAGATAATTTTTTCTTTTTATTATAGTTCATGTTACAAGATTTGCCTACACATTTTCTTATACTGAATCTAACTTTTGCTTCAGGATTGGTTATGATGTTAATAATGTTGTCGGGCGCTGACATACAAAGGTAATTTTTATTGCTAAATTTTCTTTTCACATTATGTTGCCAAACAGTGGATTTTTTCTTTGAAAAATATATTTCAACAATGTTGGCTTCAGAATTTTCTATCAAATAATCTTTAACTAGATCATTCCCCAGAGCAATTTTGTAAGAAACTGGATTTTGATATGTTGCTTTATTCTTTTGCATAAAAAAACTGTAGAAATGTTCATAATTGGAAATGTTTGGGTTTGGAATGATGTTATTACGTGAAAAGTATATGTTATCTATAACATATTTTAATTCTTCATTTAAAATTGCTGTCTCTTTGCCAGGTTTGCTAAATGATGTACCCAAATAAGTATTTATTGTTTGTTTCTTTTCAATATCTTCAATTGGTTTTGTCATAACTGTTTCAAAATTTTTAGCTTGTATTGGAATGTTCGGAGACGGAATTTTGGTATCAACAGCTTCAATTGTTGAATTTATTTGTATGTTTTCCTTAGCTTCTTTTATATTAGATTTGGTGTGATTTTTTGCATATTTCTTGGAAGTGAATTGTAAAAGAGGTACAAATTTTCTCTTTTTCTTCTTGTTGTTACATCCAGACCAACTTATTTTATGCATGTGTGTGAAACTATTTCTTTTCCGTTCGTCAAGACTTGGAAACTCTTTCTCAAATGTTTTATTTGTAATTATATTTATAGTCTGTTCACTCTTGTGGATTGTAGAGATTGTATTATCGCAGTACTCTATTTTTCCTTTGCAGCATGTTCCTTTTCTTCGAGATCTATTTCTTCTTTTGGTTAACATGTCAACAATGCTACCCGTTATTGATATATTAGGGCATATATTGCTTCCAAGCTCCCAAAAAATGTTCCTAATTTGATCTGTCACGGCCTCAACATAAATTGGGGAATTTTTATCTAAATAATTTGTTTGTGTAACTGTATTTTGATGTCGGTTGTCAATATTTAGGTTTTTCTGTTTTAATATATGAGTCGTATAAGCTTTATATAGTTGCTCATCATTAAAATTTGAAATGAATTCAATTGATTGTGTGAGTATTGCTGCTATATCTAGTCGTGTACTTATAGAAATACTTTCTTCAAAATTAAAAGTAAGTATAATCTCTCCAATGCCACTTGAGTTTTTTCGGACTTCGACAACCTTGCTTAAATTTTTCTTATGCATTTGCCAATTTTTAGAGTGTGCTATGAAGTTTTGTTTAAAAAATGCACAAAGCTGTTTAAATATTTTATATTTACTTTCACTCGTTTTACCGAAACTTGAAAATTCTTTTTGATATATAAAATTCACAGTTTCCAAGATTACGTCGGTAAATTTTTTTTTGTTATATGATTTGCTCATGTATTTTCTTATACTGAATCTATCTTTTGTTTTAGGCTTAGTTATGGTGTCGATAACGTTGTCCGGAACTGACATACAAAGGTAAGTTTTTTTGCCAAATTCTTTGATCATATTGTACAGCCAAACAGTGGATTTTTTATTTGAAATATATATCTCTCCAAAGTCTTCAAAAACTTGTATCAAATAATTTTTAACGAGAGCAATTTTGTATGCAACTAGCCTTTGATATCTCTCATTATTCTTTTGAATAAAAACAGTGTATGCTCTGTATAATTGTTCGTAATTGAAGATATTTGTGTTTAAAATAATATTATTTGAACAATCTATATTACGTATGAAATTTTTTAATTCTACACTAAAAACATATTCCAAAATAACTATATCTTTATCAGACTTGCTAATTGATGTTACTGAATCTGTATTTATTGAAACGTTAGATACTTCTGTGCCTTTTGTAGTATTGATATCTTCTTGAAAGTCTATATTTTCTTGAGTTTTTTGTTGCTGTTCAGACACATTAGCAGAATTTTCTTTACAATGTTCCACGATTTGTATTACAGGTATGTCCTGATCTGTTCTTTCAATGTTTGAATTAATATCATGATCCACATTGTCCAAAGAATCAATTTTTTGTGGTTCTTCTGTAGTTATCTTTTTCCCTTTCTTCTTTCTCCTCTTCTTGGTTTTAGTTTCTTCAATTGGTGCTGTTATACTGATGTCCTTGTATTTTAAACTAAATTGTATGCTTTCGATATTCAGTTCGTTGATAGAGAAGTGATCCAATTGTGTCTCCAGCATGGTTTCCTGGTTTTTCGTACTTTCTACTACTTTATCTTCATCAGTAGTTAATTTATTCAAGATGTTTTGATCTTTTGGTGGTTCATTATCGGTTAGTTTCTTTGATTTTCTTTTCTTCTTCTTAGTTTTCTTCTTATCTGTTGCTAATGTATTTACTTCCACCACATCTTCAGAGTAAAATAACAATTGAATTTTATTATCAATAATATCTTCCGTTGTTAATTCCTCTAAGAGATGGTTTAACCTTTCTTGACAGTTGGTCATAATTTGCATCTGTTCAGTTATTTCTTCCAATATTTTTTTGCATGTTTGATTTACTCGCTTCAGAATCTCTTCTGTAGCTTTTTTAATTTCGTCAGAAGTATTCATTAAAGATTTTTCAGCAGACTGTTTTGATTTCTTTTTCGCTTTCTTTTTCTTTCCTTTTATGGCTAGCGATTGTATACTAGCTTCACTGATGTCGATATATTCTAGTTTACGTGTTTTTTCTAACATTTCACATATTTCCGCAGCTTTACCTTTGGGTTTTTTCGTTTTTGTGGTTTTTTTTTCAACTTCTACAATATAACCTTTGTTGAAAAGAATATTGACATCAAGAGGGCGAAATTTCTTTTTCTTAGTGTTTGAGTTTTCATTAATGAACCCAGAATTTATTACGTTTGCTGGAAAGGCGGCAGTAAGATTTGGCAATTTTTCTTGTAATACATCCTCTGTTGCTGAGCTCGTTACTTCAGGTAATTTTATATTAATATGACTCTGAATATTATCCATGCAGTTCAGGTTCTTATTCAAGTTAAAGTTGCTGAAGAAGTCACATTTTGATTTCGTCATTTCCAACATTTTGCTTTGTTTTTCAGACGTATTTATATTAGTGGGTGTTTTTATTCTATCTATTGCACAGTTCTCCAGGCTTTTTTGTACCTCCTTCCATGGTTCCTCATTTATTTTTAGATTATCGTTTTCCTCAAAATTTTCTGTACTGCTGAGAAAATCATCGAATGGTTGAAATTCTTCTTTTCTTTTTGGTATTTCCCAAGTGTGACTTTCTCTTTTAGGTTTATTTATACCACTGACTGATTTTGCTCCAGCTATTGCACAGTCCTCCAGGTATGGAAACACATTTTGTTCCTCTTCCCACAATCCCACACTTTCGTTTTCCTCAAAACTATCTATATAGTTGAAAAAATCAAACCGTCGAAATGTCTTCTTTCTTTTTGGCGTTTCCCAAACTTCACTTTCTCCTTCAGAATCCTCAGTATTATTTGATGCACAATTTTCTAAGTATGCATATTTTTCTCTTAGCTCGTCCCATGTTCTTATATTTTTTTCATCAAATTGCGTTAGATTAGTATTTTTCTCTACGTTATCATTATCAAAATCATAGCTAAGAGGTTGCTCCTTTTTTTTCTTGTTCAAGTTACCATTAAACGCAGACTCTATTTCCATTATTGCATAGCTTTCTTCAAAAGTATTTTCCAGTGTTTCGCATGTTTCCCCTTTACATACATTTACACTAGCTTTATGGGTTACATATTTTCTAGGATTGTCAAGAAAATCAATATCAAGGGGTGTAATTTTCTTTTTACCGGATTTATGATTGTTTGACATGGTATCCAAAATATCAAAAGTTTGTGTTTGGGTATTACTTTTTAAATTCATTACTTTATTTTTAGGTGATTTTGATTCATTGGATGGAGACCCATTGGAGAGCTGTGAATTATTTTTCAGTTTATTTTGACTTTCCTCGTTATTATTACAATTTCTTACTTTTAAGTTAAGAGTTGCAATCGCAGCATATTCCACTTGATTGGCTGTTTTAGACTTTGATTTTTTTTTCTTTTTCTTCTTCGGTGTTGTTTCACTACTCGTAGCTTGAATTTTTACTTGGTAATTTTTTTGTATGCTCTTCTGCCGTTCTTCCCAGATGTTTACTACTTTTCTTTGAGAAATGACCACGATTCTATCTCGTATTGACTCGTAATCAAATGGAGGTGGTTTTAAGGAGTTGTATTCTTCATCGAAATCTCTTTTGCCGTCGAAATCGCTGTCTGAATCAGAACTAATGATTCCATGGATTTGTGCCGCTAGTCTGTCATCGATCTGAAGATTATAAAAATATATTACCTTATAATAATAAATGTAACGGCATTTTATGATTTTACAAGTTAAAAGACCCACATCTATCCTTATGGAAAAACGGTCCCGGTCGAATGGTACAAAACTTTGCCCAATGATAGTCCTCAATGTGTCGATCAAAAAAAGTCCATGGGACCTAGGTCTGAAAAACTACTGTTCTGAAGCTACAGCCTCCTGAAGTTATCGAATTCACATGCTCGATGACCATCAAGTCCAATGAATTATGGGCGAGTAAAAGCAAATTTCTATATAAAGTGACCAAGCTGGCTGTTTCTTGCTGAATTTTCGTGTGCTGCATGCAAATCCGTGGTCAAAATAGCTGTATTATCCTTCAGTCTTCTGAAAATCGATAAAGCACCTACTGAAGAACAGCGATAGCGACACACACTGCTCGAGCGACATCTTATGTTTTTACACATGGATTCGATAACTTCAGAAGGCTGTAGCCTCAGAACAGTAGTTTTGCAGACTTTTTTGATCGACACATTGAGGACTATCATTCGTCAAAGTTTCATAACATTCGACCGGGACCGGTTTTCCATAAGGATAGTTGCGGGGTCCTTTTGCAACAAAAACCAATTTGATTTAAAAATTTAACATTAAACCATAATAAATGCTTTTGGTGGTGTCAATTAAATGTATATGTTATTGAACGTATTTTATTATTAGTAAAATAATTTATTAATAAGAAAATGATTAAAAAGGTAACTATTTCAATAAAAATCTTACCTCCATTATTTTTCGAAATTAGTTACAAATCCATTATACAACTCGTTTGTTCACATAGATCTATTAAAATTTTAGTCAAATGATAAACAAAGTACATTGTTGATATTGGATAAAATGCCAGGATAATCAAATAATAAACAAAAATAAAAATTAAAGGTTAACTTTACGTTAAATGTAAAGTACGTTTACTAGTTCAGTGAATCACACAAGATCTAGGATATATTACAAAGAGATAGGTTGACCTTTCTCCTCGCTCGCCCAGTGGTACCGACGCCATTACTTTGGAGTTTGGATCTCAAATTAAATTATTCTAATTCGGTGATTACAAGATCTAGGATATTATTATTAACACCAACGATCTTTATTATACAGCATATGTAACAGCATGTGTAAAAAATCCAAAAGAAGAAAAAACATTAAAAATGTAAGTTGGCTTTATAAACTCCTGTTCAATTATTGGTGGTTTAGAAGTATCGAAGTTTTGGAGTTAAAAAAAGGAACAACCGTTCTTTTGGTTGTACAATAAGGCCATTATACTATGGTTTTTGATAAAAGTTTAAAACATGGTACATGATAAAAGTTTAGCCCTCATCTTTACCTCATTCTTAGGCATTCTTCATTGTAATATTTTATAAAAATCTTGACATAATTCACAGATTACTTACGTATAAGAACTAGTTAGCATCGCGCCAGCTTAGAAAGTATAGTTGTTACGATGTCAATTGGAACCTGCAAATCTTAAAGCACAGGACCGTATGCACTTCTCCTGAAATTTTTTCCTATGCTTTGACCATGATGTGTCTCGTAATTTACACTCGAATAGCAATTCGGCGAGTCCGGTATTGGTAAACTAGTCCGCCTGATGTAGAATTGACGGCGGCGCGCTAGTCATCAAAGAAAACCTGTATTGGTCCACTAGATCGTAAATAATTTTTTTGTATGGTACACGGGTTCACTTAGCTTTGCCGCTTTGCCAGTGCAGTGCAGAGTATTGCTTCGCTTGGTATGTTGTTGGTATAATACGTTATATTATACGTTATTAGTTGATATTATCGTTCATATCGTAACCAGTAATGGGTAATAGTTATTAAAATAAATGTTATACGTAATTATCTAGTAATTTAGCGTGGCTCTCTGGAGACTCTTTGAAACGGAGGATAACAAAATAAGTCGGGAAAATCCAAAAATAATGGAACCGGTTATTGTCGAAAGCATCGAAACAAAGTCAGAGTTTAAAAACAAAGATTTACATGTCAACGTATTATATTAAATATACAGGGTCGGAAAGTCCCCATGGTTCATCGGCCGTTACGTGAGAGCGATAAAGTAAGTCATAGAAATCCGTGCGATAGAGAAAGATGACTATAATGAAGGCATCTAATAGTCACCGCCCATTTCGCCCTTCCACAAATAAGAAGTGGATCTTATATGAATGTTTGAAGATTGAAAATAGTGAACAATGTGATAAAAAAGTTAGGAAACGGATTAACGAATTAACTAAGATATCAAAATCGACAATTTATCGCGTAATTAAGGAAGGATTGATCACGGTACAAAGAGGAAACAGAAAAAATCAAAATTAAAGAAAATTGACGATTTTATGATTATAATTAAAAATATTTAGATATTTACAATGCGATTTTAAACATAAAAAACTTGACAATCGTATGGCAATTATATGGTAATTTAGCTTGGAATATAGTCTATCTAGACGAGACAGGGCAAAATTTTTCTGGACGTCTATGGATTCCGTAGAATTTATGAGTTAAATGTTTTTATGCGGTTCCAATTGAGATCGTAACTATAAAAACAACGGACTTTTATGTATGCGTACTCGTGGTCTGGACTAAAACTAGTTAGGATTTTTATAATCCTGCACATTGAAATTTGTAGGTTTAACTTGTTAGGGCAAAGACTACGGCTAAGTTAGGAATACCACCTTTTTATAAACTTACCATTAATCTTAAAAAGTAAAAAGATAGAATCTTTCAAAGTTAGGTTTTAAGACTTTATTAGACTACTAGGGCTACGTTAAAAATTACGAATAGTTAACAAAGGCAGTGGCAGTTTTGAGTGCATTGAGACAAAAACATGCCTTCCAATTACCTATATCTTTAGGATCTCTCTGGAAATAATTGTCAACGCACGTTTCAATAGTTTTAAATTTCCATGATGGTATTATATGCGCAGAATCAAATGCTGCCTGCGCAGTTTGGCTCAACCCTATGAAATTGTAATTTAAGTCCATATTATAATTGGTCAGTGTTTAAATCAGGTTGGTCTGTGGTTTCGACGCCATTACTTTGGCTTGCAGTACTAAAAGTAGAATTTTTGTTTATATTTTTAATTAACTGCTTTATTTTTACATCTTATTGAAGTATGTACATCATCTACAGAAGGGATAATACAAACATCAATTTGCATAAGTATTTATTTTCGTAAAACTATCTAGATTTACAAATAAATTTGGCACAGAATAACACGGTGGCCCACTATAACTTGTCCTTCTTTAGAGTAAAATCGAGTACTTTGCAAATGTCGCAGTCCGCCTCCGCGTTGCAAGAACACCCCTCCTCGCACTTTTTTAGGTCCTCGCAAATTTTAAAATTCTTGAACTGTTTCAGTTCTTTCTTTACTGTGTTCAAGTCGTTAATAGCCGCACTCAGGTCGCTGGCCCTAACGTAGTCACTGGATTTAGCACCGGACTCTCCAGTTTTCACACCAAACTCGCCCGGTTTCGAGCACGTTTCACTAGTCTTCGCGCCCGGCTCGCCGGATTTGGCGCCCTTGACGTTGTTTATCTGTTATCCCTTATGTCACATGAACACGTCCTGGAGTTCCGCGGCGGCTGACAGTCTGGAGGCCATCTCGTCCTCGAACGTCACCATTTTCTCCTTCTGCTTGGGCAGCGACTTCCGTGGGGCCCTCACCGTCAAGGGCAGGAAATTCGTGGATATCGGTGCGTCGCCCGATGTTAGCGACAGGTCGAACTCGCTGATGCTGCGCGGGACGAAATACTCCACCAGGGGCTCGGCACCTTCAAAATGATAAATACGTGTTAATATGTAGGGTTTATAAACTGATGATATTGCACAACTACTCTGCGGGCTACTTGTCCCGACCAGCATTGAGTAATACCAGCAATATCTAGTAAACGGCTAGAATAATTCGTCAGCTGAACCTAGCAGGCATATGCCGGTTTCGAACTTATTAGTTCTCATCAGTATGCCATATCTTTGCGGGTCTAACAGTTTGAACACCTAGGCATTGAATAGCATAGATCATAGATGCAGCATTTGCATCTCACCTAATATATTATAGATTGTACAACTGAAGACAGATTCTTCCGTGGCTCTGGTATAGTTCTTCCGAAGTCAGTTGAACATGCATAAAAAAACCTAAACCAAATTTAATTAAAAAAAAAGTTTTCTGCTAAAGGTAGAAAATTATAATAATTTGTATATAATGTCTAGAAAATTTCTATTATATGTTCATTTGACCAATAACATTTTAATTATTTATGTCCTCAAACAATTTTATTATATTAATGGTAAATTTCGTTTTGTTCCGTTTCAAAAGGTCTCCAAAATGCCCTTTTGTAATAATATTAGTAAACCAAATATCCCTCTTATTTTTCCCTTTCGCAATTGTAATATGAATGATTAATAGAAGGTCGCCTATAATAAATTAAAATTATCTGAATCACTCCAAATTCCGCATTAGCGCACTGCACTGCTAGGCGACTCGTCGACAATTGAATTTTATGACGCAATGGACCAGAGAAACAGTGAGCATTGCTCTTTGCCCGCACGTTCATTCTTCAACTGACCGTATACATTTCTACCACCTGCACTTTTCGTTCGACCAGATCTGTATATGGGTATGGCTAAATAAATGTTGGAACAAGTTTTTCAAATATTTCAATGCCGAGCTGATGCTTAGCGACCGAGCCTGGTACATACCTTGAAGATATTGGTTCTTCAATTGACTTCGGAAAAACTATAATAAAATTATACATATTGTACATAAAAAATCGAAAGATAATTAAATTTTGGATCTAGATGATAAATTTAACTGATATAAAAAGATATCCGTGAATAAATTAAATGTATTACAGTCAGTACGATATTTGTTGAGATAGAATTCCAAGAAGACCCCTGCGTCACTTTCTTGGAATTAACCGCATTCGACACTCGAGGTAGATAGACATTGGCGGCGTGGAGTTCACGGTAACAGCTTGCAGTGCATATTGTGTTTCGCAGTTACGAAGTAACATGTAATAGAAATTTTCTACATATTATATACAAATTATTATAATTTTTTACCTTTAGCAGAAAACTTTTTTAGGGCGCCTATAAAAGACATTAAATTTTATTGCCACGCGTTTTTTACATATTCAACTGACTTCGGAAAAACTATACCTTCGTCTTGTTTTCATGTTTTGATTTTTACAATGATTGATGTCTTTTTTTATGTATTTATTTTAATTTAGGTTTAGCTTTTCTGTTCCATCTTCTCCTTAAATTGGAACTTTGTCCTGTTGGTACCACAGAAAAAATAAATTCCTTTCTGTTGTCTCTGGTTGGTACTGTGTATCCAAACTAAATAAATAAATTGATTTGGTGCAGCTTTTATTTTGGACATTTTTTTTGTTTTGTTTGGATATTACTAGAACTATAGATAGCCTTCATAAATATGTACACGCCACGTGACCGCTCAGCTTAGGCAACCAACATTGCAGGGTTGGTACTGGTAACGAAAATTCTCTAAATCTTGGCGTCATCAATATTAATAATTAGTTTACAATGAACAAAATTACACCAATCACAGCTGGTGAAACAGAATATTGTGTTTTACTGTAATTTTGATCTTGTTTCAATAATTTTTAATTTTACCGAAATTTAATTGCCATCGTGAAGGAAATAAAATCACTGTTCCAAACAAACTTAGTGGTCTCATAGCTTATAATCATTTATGAAAGTTCTTTAGAAGAATTCATCTTTGATGGGATACCCCGCCCGCAGAATATATATCTTACCTATACCTGCAGATCTTCTTCCCGGTGCGTTCCTCTGGAAGTTACTTTTCCTAGGAAGGCTGTTGTGCTGCGGTAATGGCGGCGTTTTCCTTAGGGGGATGCTCTTCACAGGAGCAGCGCCCTCTGTCATCGGTCTTTGTCAGGATCCTTGTATCGCGTTTTCTTCGTCTTTGGTTTTCATCTCGTTCTTAGAACACGTCGCCCCAAGGTACCTAATACAATCACATACTGAGTTTTTATAAGGTTGAAGGATTTTTTAATAAGTATAAAGTGTCAGTGTTAAGCATTTTCAATAATCAACCACTGAAACTGCAAACTGGTACCTAAAGCTAATAATAATCAAAATTGCTAAAACTTCTTAAGGACCTCTGGAATGGTCCCTTGACAGAAAAGGTGAATAATTGTGGTCGCCCTAATCTGTTTTGCAGTACTGTTATTATAGCTACTTTCAGTTACCTGAGTAAGCTGAGAACTTCGTCCTGAACCAGACTGAAGCACATCGCTACCAAGGCCATGCCGGTCAGGATATAGGCGGAGCACGCGCACAGCGAAACGTCCTCTGCTTTTTGGCCCGGAAGAAGATCGCCGAAACCTATCGTCCCCAGGCTGGTGAAGCAGAAGTAGCTACCTGGGGGGGTTATTTTTATTATCAGTCACTTTGTAGGGTGTGAAGAATTAACGTTATTACCTTCTAAAAGTGACCAGTTCTCTAATCGATGAAACAGGACCGCTCCAGAGCAGATGTAGGCCAGCACGATGACCAGACACAGTGTCACCGGAACTCTGACCGTGTTCGAGCAAGGGCACTGCAATTTCTGTGGCGAAGTACCGCACATTTTGCCATATAGTCTTCGGAAGCTCCTGGCCAGGACGTCGCCAGTGGCGGAGAGGTAGAGCAGCATCAAGGGGATGCCTATGAGGGCGTAGATGATGGTCACCATCTTGCCCCAGGACGTCCGCGGCGAAACCGATCCGTAGCCTAAAAATAATAATATTATATGTAGCCATAGAAGAAAAAAATATATACAAGGTGTTTTTTAAACTTCAGGACGTTGTTGCGTGGGTCGACGTTCAAAACCAAAAATCATTAAAGGATCAAGGGACTAAACCTTATTTCAAGGTAGAGATGTTTTAAAATCTTATGAGCTTTGACCTTCATATACGCAGAAACATAATTCCGACCGTCGCCTAAATTATTCTACGTCCTAAAAACATTACACCTATTCATCCACAGTCTCTCTCGAGCTCTAGTGTAAACAAGCCTTTGATCCGATTACAAATATCATAATAAAATGCCCTATTCTTTATTATTTTAATTTAAACAATAAAAATATATATAACGAACGTTCGCCAGTTGACTTTATTGATGCCCGAGCGCCTTAGTTCATTTCTACTTGTAATGATGCACATGGTCTAGTTCTGAGTCAATGTTTTCACAACGTGCTTATTAGAAGAATTATGGGGATACGCCACGCCTTTCGCGCATTTCGCGGCTCAAGAGATATTAAAAGACCTCTACAGGATGTTGCCTCGATCAGTATTGAATTATACCTGCAATACCTATCTAGTGAATAGCTAGGATAATTCGTCAGCAGATTACTCGAAAAGAGAACAAATACGAGTAACAACAGCTGATTCCTCGATCGATCTAATTTAATACTTTAGCCACGCCTTTGACACTTTGTAGTCCAATCAAATAATTACTTTTTGAGGTGCCAAAAAATAGTTCAGTAATTGAAAATATGTGAAAATTAGGAAACATTATGTAGAATTCAATGAACTACTTATTACCCCACCCGAATTTTTGGGCTTAATTTTGAAAATGGCGTCCAAAGTTCGCAAAAAACAGTTTTTTCATTTATAAAAAAATATTTAGAGAAAAATGTTTCAAACAAAAGTTGTAGGAATTTTTAATACGGATCGAATAAGCCCAAACCGGTTTTGATCGATAAATAAATTAATTGGTTATTGCAAAAAAAACACTAACATTCGCAATTTTTTCAAATAGCTGTATCTCTTTCAAAAATTAATATTTTTTTATGAAACTTGGTGAATGGATAGCTCTTGGTGAGTAAAATAAAATGATTCTTTCAAAATTGAAAAATATTTTATAATTTTTGCAAAAATCGAGTTTTTCCAAAAAAAGCGTTTTTGTAAAATCCTCATTTAGGAACGAGCTCGGGCTTAAAATTTTCTACACTATTATGTGCAAATATTGCGCGAGCCTCAAATCGATTTCAAATATCCCAAAACACGATCGAAAAATCGGTTTTACTTTCGAGGCCATAAAACTTTGATTAACTTTTTGATTTCAGTTCGTATCAAAATGTCGATACTGCCATTCGAAAGTTGACATTTTTTCACGAATTTACTGTCCTACGACCAACAGGGGCCGAAAAAAATTTTTTTTTCAAAAAATCGCACGACCTCATTTATTAATATTAAGGGCTGAAATTTACACATGTTATAGTTGAATACTTGTACTTTCATATAAAAAATAGTCCACAACGATTGATCCAATTTTCTTTGATTAAATTTCATTTTTATAGGACTATTGACTACCGCAACTCCTATTACTGTGTTACTACATTTGTAAATTATACTTAACTTTACCTAATATCGATTTAAAAAGTGTATGGCTGATATGGAAATACAATAACAGTTTCGAAGTCAGTGACTTTAGACATTTGCTTCATCAAGGCATCTGGTTTGAAATAATCTAAGGAAAATTGTGATAAACTTAAAATACTTTGATTAAAAAGTACTTTTTATGATTTTTAGTAACAGTTGCCATTGTTAAACTGAAATGAACTATAAGACAGCTACGTTGTGATGGATAATAACTTTTAAAATAATATAAACCGAGAAGAACGGCGGGCGCCATACATTTTAAAGAAGTGACTTTTACAAATGGCCGTATAGGGGCGCTCAATAATTTCGACACGAAAATACATGTTGTTTTCCCCCTTGGAAAATCTATTTAGGTTTTTATGCTTCCTCCAGAATTTCTCTACCAAATACAATTTAATAGACGGGTGAGGCATCTTTCATATGTTATTTGTCAGAACATTTTGCTTCCATACAAAGTGCCTCTAAATGTATGATATCGGGTGCTTTTTTCAATATGTTACTTTTTTTTAGGAAAATAGGTTTTAGAAATACTTTTACGAGCTGTCGAATTAGTATAGGAGATCTTTATTAAATTTTTCTTGGAAATAATAAAGTTTTAATAAAAAAAATCATAAATGGCTGATAGAACTCGTGTAAAAGTTTTGTGGACATTTTTTTCAGTGTATAATACATGTGTTGTTGAAAGTGCTCCAAAATGATAATGCTCTCAAAACTTGACAGTGCTGTTTGAACTTTCCCGCAGACACTTCACCATTAGACGAGAAACTTTCTCCATTAGCTGAGCGCTCTCGTTATTAACGTTATTTTCCCAAACCAGTGCGACGCTAGACGTTAGTTATTTCGTTGAACAATCTTCCCAAGTCCGCCAAGTAGTCGAAAAAATTATTTAATGTAATATGCAAACTAGGTTTCGGAATAGGACGGTCGTCGGAAACTGTCAGTTTCCTAAGTAATAAAAATAAATTACCATAAAAAAGAGTCGTTTCCTATTTTAACCAATACCGAGTGGCTCAAGTTGACGTCAACTTCCGGTATAACTGGAAGCGTTACAGGAACAACATTCTTAGATTTGGAAAGAGCACATCCAAAAACCCTAGTATGCAATTTTCAAAATTTAAATCGAAGTAGGTTCTGAAATAATCCAATAGGCCACTCGCTTTGATCCACGCGGTATATTCCTTTTAACATGTAAAATGTATATCGCTATTTCTTTTATTTCCATCGTTTTGTGCTGTAAAGAGAAAGTACAATATGTTACGTTACGAATTATAGTTTTGTACAGGATGTATTTAAATGAAGGGGCACAAATGATACCAGCGATTCCTTAGGTGAAAATAAGTTGACTTAACCTAACATACCTATATCCCAAGTCGCATAATAAAAAAGATACGGGTGTCGAAATGTCGAAATGAAAAATAAAAAATGGTTCTTCCTTAATAATTTCTAAAGTTTCAAATTGTCTAGTGAGAGATATTTTCAGGGCGGGAAAAATAATACATACAGGGAAAATAATACATATCCACAAGTCCTGGTACGGCAGAAAAATTTTCGAAGCATTTTGGAAAAAACCTTTTAGACAAAAGTGTAAGGATTTTTCCCTGGCTATCTGAAGGTGAACTTGGATTTGACCTTGACTTTGACCCTCAAGGTCAATTGAAGGTCAAGTTAAGTTTTTTAAATGGGAACCCCTATTTTTATTGCGGATTTGGAAAGAGCAGGAAATTTTACATCCAAAGATGGTCTTGACCATGACTCTGACCTTCAAGGTCAAATGTGGTCGACTTCCAAAAGTCCTGGTACGGCAGAACTTTCGAATAATGCATTTCGGGAAAAATGTTTCAGACAAAAGTATAGGGATTTTTCCTGTTCTTTCTAAATCCGCAATAAAACATAGGGGTTCCTAAATAAAAAACAATATACACGGTGTCTCCCGGTGACGGCCCATTAGAATTAATTCAGAGACTACTTCGATTTGAATTTTGCAAATTTGGGATACCGGGTTTTCGGGCATGCCCTTCTCAACTAAAATAATGGCGTCCACGTACCACTTTCGGTTATACCGGAAGTCGCCATCAATTTGCTTATTTTAAATAGAACACCTTATATATTATTGCAATTTTGGATTCTACGTGTTATTTTAGGTGGACTTCTATGAAGTTTCCCTATTCCTAAAATTAACCGTTTTCGAAATATTTAATTTTTTTCAAAAAAATGGAGAGAAACAGTGACTAGCTTCAAACCATGTGTATTTTATAGTAAGAAAGATAAAGCAACAATATTTATAGAGGGGATAGCTAAACCCTTAAGCTTCCTATCCATACTTTAAAAGTGGCTTAATTGCATACAGGGTGCTAGAAATTTAATGCCGAGATTATTTAACTTCATATCTTCATAAGTCGTTTTTTTTAAATGGAACTCCCTGTAGGTTTTTCTATATTCTGATACACAATTTTATTCTCTTTCGAACGGTACCAGGGTTCCCTATACCTATCTATTCTAGTTTTTAAGTTATCTATTAATCTTTGTATAATCACCTATAACGATGTAATTTCTTGCGAGGATAGCTGTGGAATGGCCCTTCTGCGGCTTCCTAGGTATCTTAGATTAAATCAATTTATTTTCACCTAAGAAATCTCTGGTGTCATTTGTGCTCCTTCATTTAAATACACCCTGTATAATTCTGCTCTCCTCAGAGTTACCGCTCGGAAAAGCCCTCGGCTGAAAGATGATTAAAATAAAACGGCCCCAACTTCCTCTCCCCGATGTATTTTTATCTCCCTCTCAAAGAAAATAAATGAAAGGGATGATATAAGGCGAAACTTTGACGAACTTATTTCGACGGCCCTCTAGCGGCTTACAAAGCAACTTATCTTATTGACACAGCTCCGGTGTAGGTAAAGGGTATCGGTTCCGATAAAGTTTTTTTATATATCGACCTTTGTGAAGTCCTACACCTTAGGGGTAGGATTTATGTGCCAACTTGGCTGGCAACATTCTTGCCGGATGTTTTAATAAAGTTTTATTATGTTAATGAAACACCTACATAATTTTATACTGCGACGCGTAAACTGCGACAGGGACTATAACTTGCTAGCGACTTTGGCGTTCTTTATAGCCCCGTGTTTATCACCTCTGCAAAGTGGAGTGCAACAATATCATTATGTTACACAGAATTAAAAAGAAAGGTGCCGTAAAGCCTTGACTGGTTGTCTAGCCATGGAACTCGATTTAGTCAAGACCACAGAGTACTTATATTATAATGTACTATTAGAGATGCCTAACTGGGGCCAAGTTTTAAAACTAGTTAACTGAGAAAGTAGAAGCTTCCGATGAACAATTTTTATTAAT